CTGTGTTCTATATGCCTAGAATAAACTGCCACTTCCTAAAAATGAAGCAAATTTAAAGAAGAAAAATTAAATCATAAACTTCATCTTGATGCAGCAAACAACTATTACACGTTAGTAGGATTTGAATATGAAGACATTGAAAGGAAAAATTCAGTTGCAAGGCAGAAAGTATCAAATATGACACCTGCTAAATCTTTTTGCATGTTTCCAGAGCTTCTTCATCTTCCTTCAATCAACATACAAGACGTTCTTGTGTGTAATAGCACCTGTCAAATGCTAATGCTCCAAGAGAGGCTCTTACAAATCACTTGGGAACTTTTAAAGAATGTAGATAAATAGTCAATTTCATGCAGCTGGCTAGTGATGAGGTGTCTTGAATCTCTGTGCACCAAAGATGCCACATGCTACCGACTTCTGTGAAAGATTAGAACACTGCAAGATGGATTTTCTTGTATCTCTGGCCTTAAAAATTTACAAACCCAGCTGCACTAGATGGCAATCCAGTGTCAAAAATGTCAATTTGAAAATGATGTCAAAAACGATTATCTATTGCTGTCTCCCTGTTAGCCCACCTTGCAAGGGATCAACTTTCCCCTTTAAATTTTGATGCATGTCAAAGAATTATTACTACTTATTTCTTGAATTTTAGCTTGATCTTGCTCAGTATTTTGCATTCTGACCTCCTTTTATCCTCATACAATACTTTAAGGTGACATTTCAAAATAACCGATACACTAACCTAGTACTTCTTTGGATTTTGCTTCTCGGCTGAAACGTCAGAAAGGTTGATGACCTACCATTTTATTAACCTTTCTCAGTGGGAAGGATTTGCTTAGCTTCTGTTGTTTCTCTGTACAACCTTGGGTCTTGTTTTCATTCAGATGACAACTATTATAAGAGTCCAGCTTCTAAAACAGCCAACGTTCCCAAAGGGTACCTTCAGTGTAGCTTAACAAGACAGATAAAGTGAATCAGTTTCTCGTCATGGGAATATAATCCGCTGACCGTCCTTCAAAAAGAAATCTTCACCCCCCTTGAGGCAAACACTGTCCTACATTGGTGAAACAATTAAGCCAGAGTTGATGTAGTGTGTTTTGTGTTTCCACCATTAAAGCTGCTCTTTTTCAAGCAGTCTGCAGGCTCTTTAAAGAGAGCTCAGACGAACAACTTATTTACTGTTATACTATACTATTATACTGTTCAGTAGCTTCATTTCCATTAATCATCAAATTGTGCAAAATTGTAATTGTGAAAATAAATCTGCTACATGGAAATTATTTTTAACTTAAAAAATCCTGATGTAATAATATATTTTCTAAATAACATTTTGTAGCAGAAACTGAATTTTAGAAACTAAAAAAAAAAAAAAAATGATACTGCAAAGAATTAAGGTTTATATGTCTAGAAATGTGTTGCCATTCTGACATTTATCTGCTTGACTCAAAATGTATTTATGATATCTGGAAAAACATTTTTTCATAGTTGAAAAATAATACAAATGCTGACCAGTAATATAAGAAATAGGGACATCTGAAATTAATTTATAGACATCCAGAGTTTTTAATCCAAATGTGGAGAATTTTATTTTATTTCAAAGAGTCATTTCAATTAATAAATTTTATTTTATTTTTTTTCTAGATATGAGGAATACATATTCAAAATGCCTTGCCACAGATGTTGTTACCGTGAAAATATTTCTTGAATGGTAATAGATCAATTCATCTATTTAGGTGAAATCTTCTGGCAGCAGGTGAAAATGAAGTCAAAAAACTTTCTAATATATAGAACCTCTGCATCATCTAAGGGTCTCTCATGCTGATTCAGTTTCTTTTACACAGTAAAGTAACTGTTTGCAGCTGCGCTTTGGATTCTATCATCCCAATAAATGGCCGTTATGAGCGGCTATCAGTCCCATAGAATGGCTTCAGGTTGTGCCAGTACGCTCATTAGGTTGTTATCATCGAGTGAATCCTAATCCTAAACCGTAAAGTAATCTATATATTTGTAATCTGAAAATAATTTTTGTTCTTCATGTACTGGAAATATAACTAAATAATAAACAAATTATCCGCATCTTGCTCATATTAAACAAATCAAAGACACAAATCTCCTAACCTGTCAACTGAGTTATTGAAAACCCCTCCATATAAAGATTTAATTCTTACTGAAAAATTGCTGATCATTCTTTAATAAGATCCTTGTCAAACGGATGACAGTGTTTGTTTTTAAAACCTAATGTATGTACAGGTGCTGGTCATAAAATTAGAATATCATGAAAAAGTAGATTGATTTCAGTAATTCCATTTAAAAAGTGAAACTTGTATATTATATTCATACATTACATACAAACTCATATATTTCAGATGTTTATTTTGTTTAATTTTGATGATTACAAATGACAACAAATGAAAATCTCAAATTCATCATATCAGAAAATTAGAATATTACTGAAGACCAATAAAAACAAAGGATTTATAGAAATGTTGGCCAACTGAAAAGTATGAACATGAAAAGTATGAGCATGTACAGCACTCAGTATTTAGTTGGGCCTCCTTTGGCCTGTATTACTGCAGCAATGCGGCGTGGCATGGAGTCGATCAGTCTGTGGCACTGCTCAGGTGTTATGATAGCCCAGGTTGCTCTAATAGTGGCTTTTAGCTCTTCTGAATTGTTGGGTCTGGTGTATTGCATCTTCTTCTTCACAATACCCCATAGATTTTCTATGGGGTTAAGGTCAGGAGAGTTTGCTGGCCAATTAAGAACAGGGATACCATGGTCCTTCAACCAGGTACTGGTAGCTTTGGCACTGTGTGCAGGTGCCAAGTCCTGTTGGAAAATGAAATCTGCATCTCCAAAAAGTTGGTCAGCTGCAGGAAGCATGAAGTGCTCTAAAACTTCCTGGTATGTGGCTGCGTTGACCCTGGACCTCAGAAAACACAATGGACCAACACCAGCAGATGACATGGCACCCCAAACCATCACTGACTGTGGAAACTTTACACTGGACTTCAAGCAACGTGGATGAAGTGCCTCTCTTCTTTTCCTCCAGACTCTGGGACCTTGATTTCCAAAGGAAATGCAAAATTTACTTTCATCAGAGAACATGACTTTGGACCACTCACCAGCAGTCCAGTCCTGTTTCTCTTTAGCCCAGGCAAGACGCTTCTGACGCTGTCTGTGGTTCAAGAGTGGCTTGACACAAGGAATGCGACAGCAGAAACCCATGTCTTTCATACGTCTGTGTGTGGTGGTTCTTGAAGCACTCACTCCAGCTGCAGTCCACTCTTTGTGAATCTCCCCCACATTTTTGAATGGGTTTTGTTTCACAATCCTCTCCAGGGTGCGGTTATCTCTCTTGCTTGTACACTTTTTTCGACCACATCTTTTCCTTCCCTTCGCCTCTCTATTAATGTGCTTGGACACTGAGCTCTGTGAACAGCCAGCCTCTTTAGCGATGACCTTTTGTGTCTTGCCCTCCTTGTGCAAGGTGTCGATGGTCGTCTTTTGGACAACTGTCAAGTCAGCAGTCTTCCCCATGATTGTGTAGCCTATAGAACTAGACTGAAAGACCATTTAAAGGCTTTTGCAGGTGGTTTGAGTTAATTAGCTGATTAGAGTGTGGCACCAGGGGCCATCAATTTTGAACCTTTTCACAATATTCTAATTTTCTGATATGATGAATTTGAGATTTTCATTTGTTGTCATTTGTAATCATCGAAATTAAACAAAATAAACATCTGAAATATATGAGTTTGTATGTAATGTATGAATATAATATACAAGTTTCACTTTTTAAATGGAATTACTGAAATCAATCTACTTTTTCATGATATTCTAATTTTATGACCAGCACCTGTAATTGCTTGTGTATGATTGTGGACATTTATGACACCTGCTCAATCGCTCTGCACAGTTTGCCCTGAGTGTGCAGCGTGACACGCGCTGCCCTCTTACGAACAGAGACAATTGTTTGCCTGTCGCAGTTTACTGATTGAAACACCAGCACTGAAGTTAGCGCTGGCTGCGCTAACTGTAGCAAACCAGTCCCCACAGTTTCCCCTGAAACATCTCCTGCATGCGGGTGAGGTACCCACTCGTAATGTAGCACTACACACACCATCACCGTTCCTAGCACTGATTCATTCATTACAAACAAAACGCCATACTTACCTCGTGTCCTTCACCTTGAGTCTCCACTTCCAAACGGAAGCATGCGCCGTTTGGATTGTTTACAATGCCATCGTGACTTTGGGTTTGGGGAATGTGAGGGTAATGGTGGGGGGGGGTATGGAAGGATGCTTTGTTTTACCGTATGTCAAGGGAATGTGGAATGTCCTATGTGCTTTACAGGTAGCATGGTTAAGATGAGTGGGATGTTTATAATTCTTGTTGTTGTTTGGGTGGTGTGTTTGATAACTTAAACCAGGATATTTGTATGCATGTGGGATAATGGTATGGCACAATTATCCATAATCCTGTTAGCCAATCGTGTTTGTTTCAAGCTTAGTAAGAGGAGGATAAAAACCCTGCTCATTGTGAGTTTGGGTGCTTGAGTGTAGAGCTGGTTACCGGGGAGAGCTCTGAAAGTAAGTGTTCATGTTTAATTGCAGCCTAGTGAAATCTGAAACCTTATTTTTGATTAAGTGCCTAATTCTTGCCTTTTTTGCTGTTTTTGGATTATTTTTGGACTTTTGTTATATTTTGTCATTTTGGAGGATTTTGCTTATCTTTGATGGTGGAGAACTAACTTTTGGCACTGGTGAATAAATACACTGGCAATTTTTGAAATCTATTTCTGCATTCCTGATCCCTTTTTTCCTTGTTTCCTTGATTCCAACCGCAACGCTGTCCTGGCGAGTGCGGTGACCACCCCGGTCACCCACAGACCTGATGAAAAAAATTAATTAGAATTATTGTGCCTTTTTTTAGACTACAACATATGTCTTGATTTTTGCAATCAGTCCCCAATGATCTCAAAGGCAAATATGAAACAATAAACCTTAAAGTGAAACATATCTTTATTTTCTCTTGTATTTATCACAGAAACCTGTGTTGCACTTATATCCAAATTTCCACAAGTGCTCACAGAGGCTCAACATAAAACATTTTTTTCAAAAGATCAAATGTACACATTAATTAAAGCACTATATTTGCATTACATACTGAGAGATACAATGTAGCCAACAAATTACTAGGGACATATCCCTAAAAGAACAGTTCTTCATATAGTTAATGGTGAATTGTATTTAACAAATCCTAATTTATTAAGAAACTTTAATGTTGTAGGATGAACTCTTAATTTTCCATTGGCATTATTACTTACTAATTTAATCTAATTAAACATTGCAGACATTTCCAAACTCAGAGAGCAGTCTGTTCTTTTTGTAAGGATTTCAATAAAACAAATATATTTTTTTTTTATTTTTATACCCTGAAGTTGAAAAGAGCGGGTCCCAAATGCAGGACTGACATAAAATGCCACTTTTGTTGGAAAGTAACACAAAAATACACCAAAGTGTTCAGCCTAACACATTTCATCATTTTATGGGGATACAATTTTTAGACAAGCCTTTTATTACACACACGAAGAACCACAAAACAAAATTAACACATTAGGTCAGAAACATCTCCCAAGTATGAATAAATGTAAATTGCACAAACAAATAAAATTTTAGGCTACAAAACCATGAATAAAGTGTAGACAATGTGCAAAAAACCATCTGTATCCAGAATTTAGCAATTACTAGTCTTACTCAATGTCCTATCACACTTTTAAAAAATATGTCTGCATTTATTATAGAATTAAATATATCTGAAATGACACAAATGGCTACTTTGGTTCCTGGTTGTTAAACGAACAGGAAAAAGATAAACAGGGTTTGTCAGGAAGAACAGATGTACATATTATACATATTCTGCATTTACAATGACCAAGATGTGTGAAAATGTAAATATACATGTAAAAATTTGTGTAGGAAATGAACATTTCAAAGTGCTATTTCTGTTGAGATGATCTTTATATATATATATATATATAAAAAAGAAACAAACAAAAAAAGGAAATTAAGTTGTGGCTGTTTTTCCTTTTGCAATAGTTCAAATATCTCTTAAAACACCAAGAATATCTAATCCAACCCCCATTTTCAGTTCAAGAGTTCCAAACAGACTAATTTTAGTAGATCATTGAAACAATCCAATGGCATGCTCAGGTTTTCACACCCCTGAACCTTTCATGTCCAAGTACAACTTCAATGTATTCTATTTGGATCGTACATGATTAGCGGATATATATTGGTGCACGATTTAAATGTAGAATGAAGAAGGTACAGTTTCTAAATTCTTTATACGAATGTGAATCCGAGAAATGTGGCAGATTTTTGTATCACCCCCTTTAGACTGATGGGCTCCGATTACAGCAAACACAACCTATCGATGTAAGAAGTTTCCTTATCAAAGAGTCAATGAAAACATTTTTACTGGAACACTAAATCTAGATTCAACAACATCCTTGCTTTCCAGCAGAACTTGAAAAAAGTCATCAACTTGGATCTATCTGCTTACATAGATCAGCTTTATTCTGTCAGGGTCTCAGAGTCTAACCCATCCATTTATTAACGTATATCAGTTAGAATATTTAATTGCTGCTTTGTTCCATGTGAGTCTCCAGGTTGAAATTAGTAATGAACCTGTGGGTTTTAGGTGAAGGCATCAAAGGTTTGCTAGGAAACCGTTGTCAACCAATGCCATCATGTGGACCATGAAATGACAGTTGTCATCTCCACAATTAGAAATTGTTTAAAGGAACCCATGTGAACTGTTGTTCACAGTTTGTCAAACATACTGCCTATTCATAGTTATAGAAACACATATTCCCAACCATGGTTGGGAGTGTTGGCCTAGTGGATAGAGCAGTGTGTTTGTGCACTGAGAAAGTTGCAAGAACCTGGTTTGATCCGCACAGCCTCCACTTTGGGTTCTTGAGCAAGACCTTTAACCCCACACTGCTCACTGGGTGCCCCACAATGGCAGTGCACTGCTCCACTGCAGTGCGCAAACATAGCTTATGACCCACCGGAAAGCTGGTCAGACTAGATATTAAGGTGGTTAGAGCTACATACAGCACAATGTCCCAAGAAAAATTTGTGCATTAAGTGGTTTGTCTTTCGCATTAAATTTAATGAGAATATGTCGTTAAATGACAGAAAAAGGTCAAGGAGCATGAATACCATTGCAAGTGTATGGCTGCTGCACTGGGTAACGGTATATGCTGACCAGTTTAAGAGGCAAACCAGAATGTTAATCTACCGGAAAACAGTCTGTGATGGTCTGGATAACAGTGAGACAAAGATGCTTAGAACAATATCAAATCAGAGTATTCTACCTGTTCTGTTTAAAGCATGCTTTATAGTTTGAGTCAGAAAAGAGAGTTTCTATTTTCCTGCCTTTGGGTGTGTAGTAGTGCATGAGCAGAATGAAATGTAGCTAACTGTAGCAGAAAAGGGTGAGTTACAAGGGCGGTCTACCAAGACAGAATATTTTTTATAAATGTTGCCCAGTGCAGCTTAAATGTAGTGGCTTTTTGAGTGTTTGTTTTTGTTTTGCAGACTTCAGTTGCTTGATTCTAGTCCCTCTAGATGGTCAGGGATAGGTAGACCTGTGAGTATCGTCAGACACTTATTCCATACATTAAACACAGGACACACTGGCTGGACAAAAGACACATGAAAGGTATGTAGGTGCTGAGAGCCGACGGCATCATAGAAAGAAATGTATCCGGCGTCGTAATCCAACAGGATCCCTACCCGTCGGAGGTGGGGGGAGGGTTCTATGGCCAGCTCCTTGCTGTTGTGGCGAACCACCCATGAGTTGTTACAGCGGCAGAGCACCCAAGAGGCAGAATTCTTGCCGATCCACTCGTGCTTGGGTGCCGACTTGTATGCAATACCTATAGCGTACCTGTTTAGCAGAAATAAGTTTATACTTGGCAAAAGTCTTTGCTAAAATGCTCAAGAAAGGAATAGTTCTCACCATGTGCTCCCTCCAATCAGAGCCTCCCAGTAATGACGTCCACTGTCGATGTAGACATTTCCCACCACGCCATAGCTGCTCTGGCTGGAGAACCGATCCTGGCTATGGCCCTTCTTGGATGTGGTTTCATCGCGTTCCACTGTTAGGTTATCATGGGAAACTTTGAGCTTCTTATGAGCAGATTTTGGATCCAGTTTGAACGGTTGGCCTGGTTAAGAAAAATGTAAATAGTTGAATACCATTTATGGAGAATTAGGCTTCTTTACAAAGAGTAAACTATTTTATTCTAGTCCAGTTCTCTTACTGTTTGTTTTCAGAGTCCCGGGTTCACTGCTCCTGCTTCCTGCTTGATTAATGGCTTTCACCACAAAGATATACTTAGTTCCACTCTGCAAACCATGCACTGTGTAATGGTTCTGTTTAATGTTGGGAACAATCATCCAACTTTCCAATGAGTTGCATAGACCTGATAGAAGAGGGAAACAAAAAAGCCTTCTTGAAACTTACAACTGAAAGCATACTTTAAGCCCACTAAACAAAACCTCCAGCAGAAGATCAATGTTCAATGTGAAAACACAGTGCACTAAATTGAAAAAGATGAGTAAGGCCTTGGCTGTAGGGGCAGAGAAAAGGCACAAGAGGAAACAATTCACACCACATTCGCTTTAGACCAAGACAATCATTTCTGCAGTCAGTGTTTTTTTTTTTTAATGGTACCTTCACAGTGCCTCTGAGGCCAACGTTTATTTGGGAGTATAAGTACAAATACATAATATTTGTTTTATGTTTTAACCTAAGAAACTGACTTGTGTGAGTGTTTTATCGTAATTAAACATGTAAAAAGGTTGATTGATATGTGCATAAAAAAAAAAGCATGTGAGGTAACTTGTTGCATTAAATTCAGCTGGTTGTCAGATCAAATCTATTTTGCTGCTTGCAATCAGGTGTCATAGTGGCATATTCTTGTTTATGCAAACCTGATTTTGATCTAAAGGTGTTTTGCTGTTCTCACCCTTTGTTAGATTAGTTTTACCATTGTTTAAAGTAAAATATGTAGGTATTCACAGGCTAAACTGCACAACTGTAAAAGCAAATATTTTCTAGACACACACATACATGCAACTAAAAAGCTAAAAATAAGCAGAGGAGAATAAACATTTTCAGATCTTTTACCAGCAAAGCTTCTGTTAATAGGTAAGAGTGGATTTCCTTATGGATACATGCACATGCAGTTATAGGTGATAATGTTTAAGAAAAACCTTATTTGGTTATTTACTCACAAATCAAGCTTTTAAAAAAGGTAAGCTAGTAGCAAGTAGTTTTATTTAACCAGCAGCACTGATACAACACCTTGTAACATTGAAAAAGTAATATATTTTTTTTACAGTTTATATGTAAATGGAAAACTAAATTTAAGCATGAATGTTACAGAGTGATAAATGTGGAAGTTTAGAAATTTGCTGCCACTGTTTTGACTTTTCAAAATCGGGTCCAGTTTAAGTTGTCTAACAGTTTTCTACAGAAATTGAAATGTTCCTTTTGTTGAACTACAGCAACAAAGATACAATACTTCAACTTCCTGCCATGTGATTTATCTCGGCAGCTCTGGGGAAAATGATCTGCCACTTGACTCCCAATTTTGACAGTAACACCTCTGTCATTAGCAATGTGATAGGAGAGAGAGCATGGAAGATCACAGCATCTTATTGAACAAAAAGAGACAGGGATGTGACAGCTGGAGGGAAATGAAGTGTCACATTAGTGTCATAAATGTCTCTTCTTAATAGTTTTTAAGTGTTGAAGTAATGAAAGTTGTAATGGAAAATGGACAACCATATGTAGGAATCCTTGATTAGATAAACGTCAAGCACATAAAAAAGGAAATGAAGGATAAAAGAAAGGAGATTAAAAACCAAAGGAAGGTAGACTTTTTGTGGGAAGTGTTTGAATCTTTAAAGAACACTTCAAAACTGGTGTAGATGAAAGACAGATGGGGCTGTTTGATTGAAAGGCAGCAGGGAATCTTGTCTTCTGGTGCTTTGACCCATTTTCCTTCATGTAGTTGTTGCTCAATCAGCAATGTCCAAGGTTCTTAAGGTGTGTATGTTTTGACTTGTCATTGTAAGCATATACTCCGACCTAACTGCTGCATAGGGCATTTAGTTGAAAGTGTGGGTCTGATATTAGATTTTCTGTCAGAAATCTGAAAACATATTCAGAGTTTATAGATTAACTCAGACTCATCGTGTGACAATGTGACAGCACAGTCTGTCATGATCTTGGTGCTGATCATTGGCTTAATTATTCATTCTATTCACCTAACTTTTCCCACTTTCTAATAACTGCTCATCTGATCCACTTGCTCCTGCCTCTATTTAAGGTGCGTGCATCCAGTCATCAGGCCACGTTATTCTTGTTCTCTCTAGCCAGTGGTAAGAGATTTTTTTGGTGTTCCTGTGTGTTTCTGATTTCCTAATCCTGACCTGTTCTGCCTCTCAACCACTGAGCCTGCCTCTTCCTGTCTTAACATTTTGCCTGAACTGTCTTTGGACTCCTTGATCTCTGAGCCTGCCCGTTCCTCTTCTGATCTGTTTGTCTGACCTGGCTTTGGGCTCCTGGACCTCTGAGCTTGCCTGTTCCTCTTCTGATCTGTTTCCCTGACCTGGCTTCAACCCCGGAGAACATGCAGAACATGCTGGAGAGTTTCTTACCTCAGACGCCCTGGCTGCTGCAACTGCAGATCTGCAACCCGGTTTTTAAATAAACACTTTTTGAGTTATCCCATTGCCTGTCTTTCCTTAAATACTGGGTCTCTCTGTTCTGAGACATTACACAGTCCTGACATAAACTGTCTACACTTATTATGTTGCTCTGTGGCTTGGAATGAAGGTTAAAAACTTGCTTCCATTTAAGGAATGGGTCTTTTTTTTATAATTTTTTTCTTTTCCTTCACCAAATAGCCATCTCAACATCTTAATTGGAAATACAAAAGCTCATTTTAGGGTTTTCCCTAGATCTAGCAGTCAGTTGTACCCACTTATGCCAAAATTTGTTGAAATCCCTACATATATATTGAATACTACTAAATTGAAATAAACAATCTATACTTAACTTACAATGTCTTTAACAGCAAAAGTGCAATTTATTTTCCTTTTTTTTATCCAACACCAAGAATAATGGTCTCAGTGTGTGCATAAGATATGACTTACATTTAATGTGCCTAGATTGTCCAGATGCACTTACTGGCAATGTTGGACTGTCCGGTGAAGATGGCATACTGGAGCTCGTAGGACACGACTGTGAATTCATCATCAGACGTCCAGTGGACACTGATGGTGTCGTATGAAGCTGTGCACAGCTCTTCCCTTATGCACGGAGCACTTGGAGCTGTGGAGAACCAAACCAGAATCATTATCTTTGCCCCCAGATGCGGCATATTACATTAGGGAAATCCCAAGCTAGTTATTCACTAGTTTTAAGTAGCTACAATGAAATCTATCTAATAAACCTTCTGAATATGCACAAAAATCTAATTTAAGACTTTATTGATTTTTTTATACTCATCCAGGAAAACAAGAGTTATAGATTGAACAGTGATTGCAATGGAAATAAATAACCAAATCACATTATCACGGCAGGAAGAGAACATGGCACAACCTCATTAGATGCTCAAAATCTGAGTCACTGCATAATCACATAAACCGCTAGCTCTGTTTCGTTGATGTATTGATTTGTGGGGAAACAGATGTGTTTTGACAATTCAGTTGAAAATGGCTCCTTTTGTGTCAAGCCTACTGAGCTTCTTGCAGGAGGAGAACAGAGTGAGGTTGAAAAAACAAACAGATACACAGGCCCGGCTTGAAATTATTGTAAAGCCACTTCTTATCTCTTTTTGTGCCTGTCACTCGCTCCCACTTCCAAGCTTTCTGTCATGAGTGGCTGCACATAGCGGAGTGATTCAGGCTGATTCACTGAGTGAAATACCCTCCAGTGAAACCCTCATGCGTCGCAGAGAATAAATATGAGCCAACCATTTTCACAGGCCTTCAGAACCACAAAAAATGCCCATCCCTATTTTTTATTTCTTTGCCTGGTGTGCTCATCCTTTACCAGTGACATTTTGATAAGCCCAACCAAGTGAATGAGGAACAATAAATATTTTATAATAATTGAGGAGCTTTTAGGTTAAATTGAATACAGACTTGACGGGAGTAAAACAAAGAAGCTTGAAATTGATGCAGAAACTGAAAGTTTTGGGTTCACAAAGTGGGGTAAATAAAATCCAGAAATTATGTTTAAACCACCCTTATATTTCTTAATACACTCTTTTTGGCGTTAAGCAAGGTAGATTGTTATGGAGAGCCATTTCAGCCAAAATTAAATAAATAAATAAATGGGTGAAATAAATAAAAAATGAGTAAAATAAATTAAAAAATGAAGAAAAAAAGAGATATTTCCCAATTTCTCTTTTTCATTTATCTATTTGTCATTTATCCCTTTATCCATTCACCCATTTTTCTTTAATCCAATTTTCATTTAACCACTTTTCAATTTCCCTTTTTCATTAAGCCAATTTTTTTATTTATTTATTTTTCAGATTATCTATTTCTCAATTTCTGTTTTATCTATTTTTCATTTGTCCATTTTTCATTTATCCCTTTATTTATTTACCCATTTTTCATTAATCTATTTTTTTATTTAACCATTTTTCAATTTCCTTTTTCCATTAACCGATTTTCTATTTCCCAGTTTCATTAATCAGTTTCTCATATATCCCCTTTTTTTACTTACCCATTTTCTTTTATCTATTTTTCATTTACACATTTTTCATTAATCTCTTTATCTATTTACCCATTTTTCATTAATCTATCTTTTATTTTAACCACTGTTCAATTTCCTCTTTCTATTAACCTGATTTCCTATTTCCCGGTTTCATTAATCAATTTCTCTTATATCCCTTTTTTATTTACCAATTTTTCTTTTATCTGTTTTTCATTTACCATTTGTTTGAAAAAATTTTAATTTTCCCATTTTCCAATTTCCCTTATTCATTAAGTATTTCCTTATTTTTTAATTTATCACATTCTATTTTCCCCTCTTCGCTTCTGCTTCAATATGATAATGAGGGGCGGTGTCTTCAGGCTACAATGGCAGCCTATTGGTTGGTTAGATGCAACTGCAGCGCTCAGTCCCTGTGGACTTTCCCTCTGAAAAGCAGTCTAGAAATGGCGAACACAGAGGGTGCAGCACGTTCTGTATCGGTTCTTCTTAGGGAAGCTGCCGATCGAATAGATGAACTAGAACGCTGTAAGTTTAATATCCGACGTGTTTTATGGTCCTTTGAGTTTTGTTTAACTTTTACTTTTGAAAAAACAGCTTCAACTTCGACTGCTACTGAACAGCCACACAGAACATACATTTATTTATTTATTTAATTTTGGGTGAAATGGCTCTCCATAGATTGTCGCTAACCTGTGAGGTAATCCAGATTTTCCAGCAACTTCTTCTCTCTAGTAAAGTCGAGGGCAAACGTGTCAAACGTGTCTGTCAAATGGATCTCGGGAATCAGCACCTGGGTTGATGCTGTTGCCATGGAAACCCTAGGTTTACAAAGGAAAAAAATTAATTAACTTTTTTTGTTCCGTTTAAATAAAAATGACCAAAATTCAAAGCTTAGACCAATTGTTGCAAGTAAGAATAAGAAATAGAAATAAGTATATGTTTCTTAAATTAAGTGAATTTAGTGTTAATTGGAGCAGGTAAATAGAATATAGTTTTTGTAATCTTAAAATACGATAATTAGATAATATGCAACTGAAATAAGACAATGCAATTGTTTTCTTTTTTTATTTTAAATGCAAGTTGTCTTGTTCCATTGGAAAAGTGTCTCAATTATCTCCTCTATTTAAGAAGAAATGCATTTATTTTAAGAAGAAATTAATCAATGAGATTTCAATGTTTCAATGTGTATGAATCTAAATGAAAGTGATGAATCTTCCACACAAGTCCAATTTGTTAAAAAATGCCTAGTAACCTGTTGGACAGGTTAAAATAGTTCTTAGGTTTTGATCTGTATGATGAATACTTTGAAGTTGGATTTGGACTTGAACTGAAATCTAACTCAAAGGAAGATAATCCATATAGAGTAAGTCCAATGAGGTGATATGACTTCCCCTTTTATGACAAGGATGGAGACAAAAGAAGGTGAACATCATTTGACACAGACTCTCAATAGACCAGGACTTTTCTTGTGTGAAACAAAGTCTGTGATGTCAGTTTGCACATGAAGTAGCAGTCCAGGAAAAATTTCAGCTGAGGATGATCCAGCTTTGTAAAAAGATCTAAAGGATACATTATTCTGATATCATTCAACCCCATTTTTTCCTGGGTGGAAACCAATACTTGACTCACATAGATCTGCTCTCCTGTGCCGAATCAATTATTCAAATGCAGCAACAGAGTGTAAAATACGATTAGTCTCAATCCAACAAAAAAAATTACACTTGTCTCTTGAGAAAGTTTTTAAACTGCCTCGCTGCGTATGTGTTGTAAATGAGCAAGTTATTTAGAAGGAAATTTGTGTGGGCTGCTTGACCTTTCATTGATGCTTTTGGCAGTCTGTAGGAAGCGTGCGTGGTCCGTTTCTTTCAGGGTTTGATCGGCTTGTGTGATGAGCGCTGAGGACCTCTCGATGCACTGCTTACAGTTGGAAATCTGCTGGGCCAGCTTCCGTAGCCTTTGTGCCTGTACACACCAGAGAGATTGATAAGTAGATGGACCTTTTCAGGATAGATTTTTCAGGGAAAAATACATGAACATGGATGCTGAAAGGAGACAGAAGAAATGGCCTTGGCAAAATGGAGAGGTTGTGGATCAATTAAAACCTGCTTGGAGTTTATATGATTACAATGAGATTAATTTTAAAATTTGCACACACAAAAAAAAAACGTAAAAACTTAGAAGTTGTTCTCGATCATTCCATTTCATTATATATATAAATATTAAAGTTGGATAATAGATTTTTTTAAAACAAGGCTTAATTATTGGTTGAGTTGGAGTAGACTGCTGTTAATCTCATGCGATTGGTATGGAAGTAAACGCAGGCTATACGCTAAGCCGAAATAGATCCGCACCATACTTCTAGAAGAAGAAAAACTGGACTAAGACATCCACTCGCCTTGTCAGGCAAGTTAATGTGCTTATTGTTTTAAATTCAACACATTGATTGATTTGAGTGATTTGATTGTTTTTTTAGATTTGATGTTATGTCCATCCTGAGTGTGAAATTACAATAGTTTGAGTAAATTTTAGATCCAATTTTTTGCTTATGTAACCCACAATTAGTCAGAGACTTTTATTTTTTCAGGCCCACTTCCTGTATTGCCCAAAATAGTAGTGATGGGCAAGTGAAGCCTCATGAAGCAATGAAGCTTTCCAACGCAAAGTGTTGAAAAAAGTTCATTACTCGATGCTTCATTCATCACTCACTAGTGACATCTGCTGGTGAAACTGTAACAGCCTTGTTACTCAGTTGGATCATACTTCCAAATATTAGGAAATGCAATATTGTCACAAAGTTTTCATCAAACTCATGTTTAGTAAGAGGAGAATCCTATTTAATTGTCATGTTTTAATGATTAAAATGATTTGTAGCCAATCTAATCCTTGACCATCAGTGGTGGTGTTAGGTTTTCTTTTATGTCGTGGACTTATTAGACAATGAAGATGTGTTACTTTAATGTATTGAGAACTGAGTGACTGTTGCTGCAGACTCTGTGTACTTTGAGCTTGAAACTTGCTTCCTTAGAGACAGAATTTGTTTAAAATCATCTCTTCCTACGAGTTCTAGTTCTGATTCTTAATATTAAGTTACACATACAGTGTTTTAATTGTTTTTATTTAGGAATAGGACTTTTTTCACTGTTTCAGGTTGTGATTGTGATCTGTCATCTCATAATACTCCCACATATGAGAGGTTTTTCTCTTTTTTGACGGCTCCATTTCAACCACTGCTGATGAATACTGTTCTGCTGATACCAAACCACCTACTACAACCCACGAAGAAACAGGATTCATCGCGCTTTTATTTTGAAAACCGACACGCAAAATGAAGCAGTCACGTGACCAATGCAATGCGAGGCCTCGTTTGTTGCCAGTCACGTGGTTTTCAACAAGACAACACAGGCCTCGAAGCGGGGCTTCATTGACACGCCCCCTTATTACTCGGTACAAGCCTCGAAGCCTGGCTTCAGATAGCCCATCACTACAAAATAGTAAGCTTCTTCAAAGCCCCGCCTTAAGCATGCAGTTAAGGATCCTCACCTGTTGCCACTGTGATTTTGGCTTGCTGCTGGTGTCTTCTCCATGTGTTCATCTGAAACCTTTAACCCCATTGATTTGATTGCTGGGTGAGTTTATTTGATGCAATATTATATTTCCTTGTGGTATTTTTGCTCGATTGCTCTTTAGAGCGTTGTTTTATTAAAATCATTGACATTGTTTACCTGGACCATCGCTGGGATTCTGCCAGAGCTGATTGTGGCTAAGTACACCCCACTCTCTTTGAAAAGGTAACTTGCTTGCTGAATTTTGTGCATGTTTGACAAGTTTACCTTGATTCCGAAGCAGTATTTAAAAGATTGATCTGAACAGTGTAGCTACACTTAAGTTGATATTGCGCAGTATGTATATTAAATTTTTTTACTTTCGCTCCTCCTGCTTGAGTATTTGACAATTTGTTTTATTTTTTGATATTTTTGAAAGTGCATTTTACCTTTTACTTTAAATTAAGCTTGAAATGGGATACTTTTTGTTTTACTTTATTTAATTTATGCTTAATTTAACCTGATTGAAATGTTTAATTATTAGAAATATTTAATTCATTTGCATTAAGTATGCATAAATAAAATGCTTAAATATAATTGTTTTGCTTTATATTATATTTGCATTTAGTTGTTTTTGATAAAATTTAATGGATTTTTCTGATCTTTTAGGTCGGGTTTTTTTCCCCCCCCTTTTAGATCTAATCCTCATCTGGACCTGAAGATGGCGAACTAGCAATGGACTATGGACTTTATGATTTTGAAATTCATTTGTTTTGAGTCAATCCTCTTGTCTCATCGTGTTGCTGTAATTTTCTGTTTTATTCAATCACCTAATATACATCTACCAAACCTAAAAGCACTGCGTCCTGTTTATTTTTTCACACCTCAGGCTCCTTAAAAGGATACTCTTCTGATGCTATTTTGTTTGGTTTATGGCTTTTTTTTTTATCAGTTCAATTTAAGCAAAATTAGTGCATAAAAGCTGCCACTATGTTTTTCTGCTGGTATGTGGTTCTTTCAATGATAAGCTGTATAATAATCTGTTTTTATTGGATCGCAACGCATTATTGCACATGGGTTTTAAGCTCTTTTCAGAGAAACAGAATTTTTAGAAACTATTTGGAAAAACATTGCTATTCAATCTTTAAATTTTTTAAACTTAACTTTGAGGTTTCTGGAAATTTTCAAATGTCTTTTGATCTGTCAGTGAATTTCCTTTTCTCTTTGCACATAATTATGGGATTTCAGCTCTTGTAGTCTGCCATCCAGTTTCATTCCCTCGGCTTTTATAAGAGGCAGATTTAGGTCACTGGTTTTATTGAGGTCAATTGCCATTTCATCAGCAGTTTGGCTTGTAACAAAACTGTACACAACAGAAGTTGTATCCCAGGATTGATTGCAGATGACTTCTGGGTCTAGTTTGTGAAAAAATGCCAGGTTTTAAAGTCCAGTCCTTCTGATGCAGAGCTAAATGTTATGCATCCACATTAGATGGTAGAGAGAAAAAAATTCGGAGTCACTCCAAGACTCGTTACATGGAGCTTAAAATATCATCTCGGTTGAGAGTACAAGCAAACATCTCCTCCATATGCTGTGGGAGGTCTCTTTGGCCAGTCTGCCATCTCCCGTCTGTTCAGAAGGGTTTGTATCTCAGGCATCTGAATAGTTTGCCATCTGCTGGCAGTTAAAGGATTGTGTTAACATACAGTGCTGTTAAAAAGAAAAAAAAGTGTCTGCCCCTTTTGAAGTCTTCTGTTCATTGTCCTTCTTTTAACGTATCACCTAAACTGTTCGTACCTAATATTTTTATTTTTTTTTTTTGTACACGACAATGAAAAATAAAATCTGTTTTCAAAATATTCCAAAAACAAGTGGATGATGGCAATCTAAGCCAATCTGGCCCTATGAAGGAAAAAAACGTAGCATCCTCTCTCGTTAAGTAGTGAATTACCTTTCATTAAATTACATTTTCCTTGTTAAAAGAGCTTAATTTATAAGTAAAACCAAGCTCGATTATTACTATTATCGCAGATGATAATTATAGTACACAGTAAATAGAACCTTTCTGACACCTTTAAGATCTCAGGAAGCAACACACCTTTCAAACCTGGAAAGGGTTATTAAGATTTAAGGATGCAATCGAGCTAAATATAGCCATAATGCACATAAAGAAAACGATGGGGAACTTATCCAGGAGAGACTGGTCAACCAAAATTACCCAAAGAACGCATAATCAATTAAAAAAGGTGTGACAGTTTAACACAGAACAGTGTTTAAAGCACTACTGGCATCACTTCCCTTGGTTATATTCAGTGTTGAGGCTGACCTTAACCATTTTTGCACAGTATTATCATGCAAAACTGATATTCATGAAAGAGTTCCAAGGTCAAAACCACTGCTGACTAAAAATAGAAAGGGAGTGTTTGCAAAAAAAAAAAAGTCTTTATAATTCTAATTACTTTTGGTTAAATATTCCTATGATGGATTAGACAAAAGTAAAGCATGTTAGAAGTTTAATGAAATGTTTAAACAAAGAGTATTCTTGAAACAGGACACCATGCATGGAGTTTGAAGTACTTGGGGCTTCCTGGCTTGAGGTACTAGATGTACTAATACATTTGATGTATTATAGATTTCCTCTATCTGCCAGAAAAGCATTGAGAAGACTGTTTAGCATTAATGCACGACCTTAAGCCTATTCACACTTTTCTTTTGCAAAATGACTGATTTGCTGATTTAAAGCAGCAAATCTGGCCCAACTCTGAATAACTCAAAATCAAACTATGGTTTTGGAAATGCTGCATTAAACGCCCAAATTAAAGAAAATTCTATTAAAATGTTATATATTGATCTATTTAGGTTGTATCCAGTAGTTGTATTCCACAATTCATGTTGTACAAGATCAAAGCAAATCTATTAAAAAAAAAAAAAAAAAAAAACTTATAAACTCTCAAAAAGGGGAAGCATGGATATGCCTAGAAATATAAAATTTCTTCAATTCATCTATAATTATTTTTCGGAGATAATGTTTGAAACAAGCCACATCTAAAAGCCTTTTTATAACAAAACTGTACATTAAACAAAATTGCATTTTATATTTTGAACTCTTAGTTTAAGTTTGTTTTTAACATTTTTTGTTCATTTACAGGTCTTTCAGGATCCTTTTGAATATTTTGAAGACCTTAGTATCTAACTTGAACAAAATGCACATCTTGGATCTCTGTAATCAACTTCATTGAGCACTTTGACTGGTCCTGTATGAAATAATAAAACAATATCCAAAACAAAAGGTAATTCAATTCTGATTTAAATATGTTTCTCTGCAGTTTAAATGGCAGATAATACATTAACTAAGTTGGTAGATATTAACAAAGTTTTGTACAATGCTCATAATAGAGGATTGACTCCTTTTCATCATCAACAATCAGTAGGCTGCAAGTCTCAGAAGTTCAGAAACTTGACAGATACCCTTTACTATAGCTGGGGTGAATTAAACATACACTATATTGCCAAAAGTATTTGCTCACCTGCCTTGACTCACATATGAGCTTAAGTGACATCCCGTTCCTAATCCATAGGGTTCAATATGACGTCGGTCCACCCTTTGCAGCTAGAACAGCTTCAACTCTTCTGGGAAGGCTGTCCACAAGGTTTAGGAGTGTGTTTATGGGAATTTTTGACCATTCTTCCAGAAGCGCATTTGTGAGGTTGCACACTGATGTTGGACGAGAAGGCCTGGCTCTCAGTCTCCGCTCTAATTCATCCCAAAGGTGTTCTATCGGGTTGAGGTCAGGACTCTGTGCAGGCCAGTCAAGTTCATCCACACCAGACTCTGTCATCCATGTCTTTATGGACCTTGCTTTGTGCACTGGTGCACAGTCATGTTGGAAGAGGAAGGGGCCAGCTCCAAACTGTTCCCACAAAGTTGGGAGCATGGAATTGTCCAAAATGTCTTGGGATGCTGAAGCATTCAGAGTTCCTTTCACTGGAACTAAGGGGCCAAGCCCAGCTCCTGAAAAACAACCCCACACCATAATCCCCCCTCCAACAAACTTTACACTTGGCACAATGCAGTCAGACAAGTACCGTTCTCCTGGCAACCGCCAAACCCAGACCCGTCCATCAGATTGCCAGATGGAGAAGCGCGATTCGTCACTCCAGAGAACGCGTCTCCACTGCTCTAGAGTCCAGTGGCGGCGTGCTTTACACCACCGCATCCGACGCTTTGCATTGCACTTGGTGATGTATGGCTTGGATGCAGCTGCTCGACCATGGAAACCCATTCCATGAAGCTCTCTGCGCACTGTTCTTGAGCTAATCTGAAGGCCACATGAAGTTTGGAGGTCTGTAGTGATTGACTCTGCAGAAAGTTGGCGACCTCTTCGCACTATGCGCGTCAGCATCCGCTGACCCCGCTCCGTCAGTTTACGTGGCCTACCACTTCGTGGCTGAGTTGCTGTCGTTCCCAAACCCTTCCATTTTCTTATAATACAGCTGACAGTTGACTGTGGAATATTTAGGAGCGAGGAAATTTCACGACTGGATTTGTTGCACAGGTGGCATCCTATCACAGTTCCACGCTGGAATTCACTGAGCTCCTGAGAGCGACCCATTCTTTCACAAATGTTTGTAAAAACAGTCTGCATGCCTAGGTGCTTGAATTTATACACCTGTGGCCATGGAAGTGATTGGAACACCTGATTCCAATAATTTGGATGGGTGAGCAAATACTTTTGGCAATATAGTGTATGTCTGGACTTTGATTCATTTAAATGTTTTTTTGTTTGTTTTTTCTTCCCCCACTGCTTTGAGTTCTTCAAAATACTAGTTTATTTTAACCCCCCCCCCCCTTTTTTTTTTTTTACCTTACCTTCCCCTCTTTAATCTTGCTGCCAATGATCTGCCTCCTCTGCTGAATGATGTCAATTAAGACGTCGCACTCCTCCAAGAGCTTGCCCTCCTGGCGTGACGCATTAACCTGAAAATCAATTCACAGATGGGATCAAACTGAGAAAGATGGATGGGAGGAATACATAAAAATGTTTACACTGCGTGTGTGTTTTAAAAATTAAGTCTTTAGTTTTCTAATACATGCTGCAGAGAGAGAGGTTCTCATTTATACCAAAGATATATTAGGAAATCTGAAATCTTGTGCAGAGAACTGCTGAGTTTATCTTATAATGAATGTTAGTCCAATTTGAAAAGACCCAGGTTCAACCCAGGTCATCTTTTTTATTTAGATGAGAACTGCAAGTAAAGGTAAGCATTGTAAATCATGCAACTGTGTTATTTGTAGAAATAAATTGACTAATTTAAAGCATTTGAACTATTAATGTTTTCAAGTTATTATTCAAATTCTATTAATCAAACCAACTGCCATAATGATGTAATGTAATTGAATGATATCTAGCTATCTAATAGCACATATTCCATCTATAATGTAATGTAAAGATTAAAAATATAACTAGATGTTTCATTCAAAATTACCTTTAAATGAAAGGCTTAGATTATTTTCAGGATCTGAAAACTTAAATTAATCAAGGAGATATACAAGACTTGTTTAAAAAAAAAAAAAAAAGGGAATCCTCTATTTAAAATGACTCATTCAGGAAAAAAAAGTAGGAGCAGTAACTTTAAGCTGCTCAAACTGCTTAAAAAAGAAACAGTTTGCCAAACGAAGGAAAATAGTTAACAGGGTCATAATCTCTCAAATGTCACATTTTAAAAGTTTACTCAAATCCCCTGTGAGCCATATTTACATCCATTGAATATGGTAGGAAGGCATTAAGCAATTAGTGGATTTTCGTCCTAAAACCCAAATATAAATGCATGTATGTGTGAGGGTAGTGGTGGCCTAGTGGCATAGAGATGAAATCCTGAGGTTCTGAGTTTGAACCCCACTTCCATGGACTGCCACTCTGGGTCCTTGACCAAAGACCCTTAACCCCAGACTACTCATCGGGTGCCGCACAATGGTAGCCCACTGCTCCCCAAGGGGATGGATGAAATGCAGAGAGTTCATTTCGTTGCTTTAGACTTGTAACAGTGTAATGACATAAAAGCTGGAACAAAAGACACAAGAAGGACTAAGCAGCAAGAAATAATTTAAAAGTTGTTGTATAAAACCAAAATATAAATACAGATGTGTCTAAGAATAATTTGAATATTTTGTATAATCACTAGCTTTCATCCAAACCCCTAGAGAATTATTCTTGAAATTACACTGTGTAGAAAATTCTCTATTAGGTTCTGAAATCAATAATGAGAAACTGTCAACTTTTTCTAAGTTGTTTTAATTCTTTCGCAGTAGGTATACCTGTAAGTGAAAAGTCACTGAATGCCCAAGGGTTCGGTGGATGATGTATGTTGTTATGGGCCTGTTTATCTTCCAAAGGCACCTTGTTAAAGTACATTGCATGAAAAAACATTCACCAGACACAAAAATAAACCTTCTGTGACTGTTTAAGGGGGAACACCTAAATCTTAGAGAAACTCTATTAAGAACGAGGACATTACCCGATGTAGAGTGGAAAAAGATCTATCTCTTTGTATGCTTAAACAATGTGTTTTTTCAACTACTGGATTTATCTTCTATATATATATTTTTTTTTACAGCTTCTTGTAACTGCATGTTTCAACTTATATTATTAATTATTATTTTTTTGCTTGAAGAATTCTGTCTGTAAAATCAGGCTATTCTAAGGCCCTCTTCAACAATTCATAACCCAATTCAAGCTAGGGGTGGTCAGGTCTTGCCAAAATGTTAAACATACTTGCACTCAGAAGAAAACTGCAAATAAATCAACAGATTACTTGAAACCCCAATTTGGAAATTACATAAATATTCTGGCCAAGATGGTGTTTTTAAAATGCCAAAATACATGGTCAAATTTAAAAAGGGGTCATGTTTGTTCAATTATATTACTAGTTGTATTGATCCTGTTTTTCAGACTGTGGATCAACAGGTTCTTAACCCCCCCATGTAAAAAAGTTCAGATATTAAGATGCTCATCATGTTTTTATCTGGCATGATATTATGGACTGATATGATATATACATATTATATCACTCTGATAAAGAGCTGGTAGAGCTATATTTCAAAAAAAGTCGGTGTCATCAGGTTAGGACCAATCGGATAACTACGGATGTGACACAAAACTTCAATAAATTTTTTTTCTTTCTTTTCTTACTAAACTAAGCCAAACATCTAAGTAAAAAGGAGAGCTGGGCAATTAATTTCATTTGCAATATAAGCACAATTTAACAAATTACAATCCTAAAATTGAAGAGAATCTAAATTTCAATCACACTATACTTTAAATTTCCCACTTTAGCCCTCTAGTTGAATGTGAAACTCTTAAAGTGGGTTTGTCGCCACACAGAAAGCTAGAGAGAGTTGCAGCTAGCATGCAGATCCATGCATGCAAGCAGAAGGAAGCACTTTTTCACACAAATGTTACAGTAAAATTCTGCAACAATGGGCTCTGGGTAAGCAAGATTTAAAAAAAACTGAAAAATCTTCACGCTTGGGGTTAGTGGAATAGAAAATCGAAGCAAAATCGTAATGTTGGTTAAAAATAATGGCATTTATGATTTTTGGCAAAATCGTTCAGGCCTAGTAAAGAGAATCAAAATCCTTTTCTCACTCAATCTATATATTTCCAGGATTGTGTTGCCAATCGCAACAATTTGCTACCTGGAAAAAAATCTCTCCTAAAAGGCAATGCCTAAACAGCCTCTTTTGCAGCGCTGCTCATTGGTTCTTTTCAAACCAATGTGAAGCTTTGCACTCTGTGAAACACTTGCACCTATGTCAACTCTGGAAAATCTGTCTTTGTGCACACTTAGTATAGTTATTATTTTATGTTAAAAAACCAGTTAAGTGCATCAAAAGCATTATTTTTATATTACAATATAATATTAATTCATAAAAGTCTACATATTTTGATGAATTAATAAATTGTGGTCAAATTATTGATGGTTCGCTCTTTGATAATCGATCAAGCTTGAAAATTTCATATTCCATTAATTCAAAGTACTTTAAAACTCAAAGGAGGCTATTTTGTAGCTTGTAATATCTCAACACTCAAATGTGACCAAAGTCTTCATGTCTGGAATAGATGTGAAGCAGCTAATTCCTGTGGAAAAAGCCCTGCGGAGGACATAGTCAGTGTGACAAATTGTCAGCTGTAAGAACTATTAAGTGATTCACTAACATGTGCAATGTCTTCAGTAAACAAATCCTGGAACGTGTCTAGTTTTAAAATTAGTCTTTTTCTATAGTACCTTATAAAGCTTTTAAGCCCCTTTCATGTTTTTTAACTCTCATTTCATCACCACAAACTTGACTTTGTTTTCCTTTGATTTTAAACAAAAGCAACAATAACTGGAGAACTAATTAAAAAAGGAAGGGGAAAAATGCATGCTTTTTAATCTCTTTCACATACTGAGTGAAGGCAGATAAACCTCCATCCTAGTTTGCATTCATTTTTAGCCCCCTGTATTTTTTCACTCCAGTGCTTCCAATTCATATTAATAGTTAGCATGGGTCTCTTGGTTGCTTCTCTTGATACTCTCTTTGTTAAGGATGTCTGTTTAATTGGATAGAAATATAGGTTTGTTGTGGTAAATGATGACTCAAAGCGACTGGAAGCAGGTAAAATCTTAAGTGTTGCTTGGAAAAATTTAAAATAAAAGTAAAAATAAACTATGGTAACCAAAAAAAGACATTTAGCAGAACTGATTGCAACAAACCGTAGAGGGAAGTGTGATTGAGAATCACCAGAAATCTAGTAAGCAGAAGAAGAAAATGGTGATCTATACTGATGATCTAGGTAAATTTCAGAAACATATTCAAAGAGATTAACAAGAGTTCAATTCAGTTCTATTTAGTTTATCTATATAGCGCCAATTCACAGCACATGTCATCTCAAGGCACTTTACAGAGACAATTCGACCAAATCATAGTGAAATTCAAAATTCAAAAATCAAAATCAAATTGATTTAAAGTAAAACCAGTTAAATGCATCAAATTATTGATTCAATAGCAATCCCTCACACCAAGCATGCTTGTAGCGACAGTGAAGAGGAAAAACTCCCTTTTAACAGGAAGAAACCTCGAGCAGAACCAGGCTTAGTGTGAGCAGCTATCTGACGAGGCCGACTGGGGTTCAAGGAGACAGAAGCAGAGATACAGAAAGAATCAGAGAATTAAATCTTTCAACTCTTGATGAACAGCTGGTTTAAACTGGGAAAATAAATGTGTATTTTGTTTTTATTATTTATTATTTCTAATTGCAACAACCTGCAATGTATTTTATGCAGTGGTAACAAAAAACAGAGGTGGGTAGTAACCAGAGCATGTGAGCGGGATTATGTAATTATAAAAGTAATATCAGATAGTTTTAGTTACTCTACACTTGAGTTGTCATTTAGCTTCTTTTGTCTTCCAAAATTTGTGGGATGTTCACTTTTTTTTTGTTTAAGTAAAAAAAATAAAGTTAAAGTATTAAGTGGTGTTAGTGTTACTTGATTAAACTTTTTGGGTACACATTTAAGGAAGGTTAATATTATAGTAATTTCTACCCGATAAGTCACAAAGTTGAACCTCTTATAACTAAATTGCATCAAGTCATATTCTTAGTTATTGTGACTGAAACTTTATTTCGATCCAAATACTAATACTTATTTGCATCCACCTTTTGATAAATTAATGTGTATTTCTTTAACTGTATAAAAATACTAACGTATTATGAAACATGGTAACCGAATGCATTTTTGCGTGTTTCATCTTTTATTCTACCGCATTATAAAAATTGAAAACTTTTTAGTGGCTTTTCTGATTAAATGTGCATTTATTAAACTCTTCTAGGTTAATTGTGTGTATTTTCCCTGTGCAACCCTAATCAGTGTCCTCATTTTAAAGATGTAATGAGTGGCTTAGAATAAGTGGATTGGCATTGTTTTGTTACATAAAAAAAAAAAAAAAAAAAAAAAAAAAAAACAAGATGAAAAGGTTCCCACATCTTAAGCTACTGGAATTAAAATATGTACGTGCAGCTGAGTTGGTAGGAGAAACAGGATGTGAGACTGCAAGATATTAAAGATGCATCTTTGCAGCCAGTTTTATGGATAATCTTATCTGAAATATCTAAAGAGCTTGTTAGTAGCACGCAATTAGAGTCTCCTCTTCAGAACCACATAATTATTTTGGTGTTTATGTCAGATTTATGTTCCTCTTTTTGCAGTTATGTCACACCTCATCACTAGACATTATGCCATCTCATTAATGTTTCAGTTATCAGAGACTGTGTTCTAAAAGCAGGTTACAAAATTAAAGCGGATCAATAAATGATGAGTTATAACTTGTTCTTCCTGCAAACTAACCCCATAAATGATTCATCCCTGTAGGTGCAAATAACTTTGTTTTTCTTGCAAGAACATGGAAGAATAGATACCAGTGCATATGCAAACTATACTAAATATTTGCTGCACTTAGACACTAAGGGGCTAAAATTTTCCCTTTGTGATCGTAAAAGACAAAACATGAATCACTTTTCTATTCTGTGCTTAAGGCTTCAAATTCCCCTTCTTGCATAAATCTGCACCTTAACATGCATGCAAAAGACGCACAACAATAATTTAATCTTCAGAAAATATTGCAAACGGCTTAATCCTTTACTTTCCTCTACTTTGCAAAGGTCTTGGCAGCCTGCAAAGCTGCTCTCCATATTTTCTAAAACCCTGTGGCATTGCTTTATTTAAAGCGTCTTAGCGGTGCGACGTAATGCGAACGGGCAGGCTTGGCACAGAATTGCTTTCAAATGAGGCTGAATGCATGCAAACATCTTCGCAAATATGTTAACCCAGTGATAAATATGATAAACCCAACCAAATGACAGCAATGATGGAAATGGTAAATCTGCTTAAGTACTGTTTTTATAAATCGTGGGCATAAAACATGTTAATGTGATCATTTGACTTTTTTTTTCCTATGAAATTCCCATGAGAAATGTTAATAAAGGAAAACAATCATTGTGCAACAATTTTAAAAATAAGACCCAAACCATGAAAACAGAGGAATTTCATGCTAAAAATACACATATTTTTATTGCATCTATGGCATTGCAGAACTTTGTGACAATTTCTTGCCTTGACGATTATGTTCAAAATAAATTTTAAATCAAAAAGCAAGTTAAAGGAAGCATCAATCTATCTGCTATTTCAAGGTCTATATTAAGATTTGGCTTAATGAATACATAAGTTATAAAATGTTGTACAATAAATGTGGGGAATTATGGATAAACTACCTTTCGGATGATTATTTAGTTGAGTGTTGACCCCATAGGGCTGAGACTCACCTCAACATGCTGACAAGTCTGGATCAGTTTCCCCATAAGCGACTCTAGTTCGTTGTTCCTCTTAATCAAGTTGCTCAGGTTTGAGTCGAGGGCTTGCTGTTGTGTTAAACAGTAAAAGATGCCAAAAATGAATAGAAATGTCACAGTAAAGAGAATAGAAATGGAGCAAAGCTTTAGACACAGCAACAATTGCACTTCATGAGAAAACAATAAAAGGAACCTTCCAGAAAAATAAATGACTAGAAAATTTTGAACATCTTATAAACCCAGCAAATCTTGGTAAAGTTTCGGAGGTGGCATACCTCGGAACGTGAGTTGTACCCCTCATCCCTGCAGTTCCTCCTCATCCTGCCCTGTCCGAAGCCTCAGACAGCAGATCCTACTTCTAGCAGTGAATGTGACTGGGACAGTCACTCCACTGAGCACCAAGCCATGCGCAAACCCAGCCAAGCGATAAATCAGGGCTTCAAAAAGCTTTCCCTATGAGAGTGCACAGCAGTGCTTCCGGCAAACGAAGCGACAAACAGGTGACACCGCATCAGGGGCACCCCACTGCTCCTCCTTTCACTTATTCTCCTCTCTGTCCTCCTTTTACCCAGCCTTCTATAGTTGTTTATGGCTGTTTGTCAAACGCTAGAGCACAGGCTGCTTTATTTAATGCCATGTTTCACATAATCGCTAAATCAGCCGTGATTAAGGTCTCCTGGTGTGTCGTCACTTTTCTTCTAAAACCTAACATCCCTCATGATTTCAAAGCAGTCAATGCAACCAAAGACAACATTTCTGAGTTATAATTTTACAGTGTTTGCTTCATATTTTATATAACAGAACACCCTGAGCCACATTTGAAATAACGACGTTTTTTGTTCTCCAAAATAGTGCCTTTTTTTTTTTTTTGGCTTGTTTTAGGAAGTGTAATGTAGCGCCACAAGGGGCTTAATGGATGACCTTAATACGCAGATGGCACACAACAGTGACATAAGGGTCTGCTTTACCAGGAAAATCAGCCTGTTGTTATCGTCTGAGTAATGGAGAGGGGGGGTAAAGCTAACCTCTCGGAGGAAAATAGCGACAATAAGCCATACTTTGTACACTGATCTTCAAAAACCTTGAGAATACCTTTAGAATATAAACTCTAAGAAAAATGTAAAGAATTTTAAACTATTATGTGTTACCACCTTCAATTAGTTGTTTGTTCCATCCAGCCTGCCCCATCAGTTTGACCACTTGTCAATCATCCTTTGGTGTAATCCTTAATGTCTCCCTCTTTATCAACCCATCCCTGGTTGATGCAATCAGTCTGTGCTAGATTGAGGAAAAGAACTGTCTTTGTTGCACTGTACAGTTAATCTGTGCTTAGTGTAGTAAAGTTCCAAAATGCAATTGGGCAGTGGACAAGGATTTGTTCCAATCGGAAGATGGATGGATGCAAAACTCCTTTACAGATGTAAACTAGTTTGGAAGTACCAAGATGTCATGCTCTATTAGCTGACTGAAATAACAAAAACAAAAAACCATCATATTTTAGTTTTTTACATTTTAGGCAAAATGACTATCAACACTTATAGGAGAAGAAGCAAACTGTCGACTGGCAAGCTAACATATTGCAAGTACAGTACTTTATTTAATCCCCTTAGTCTTCAGAGACTCCACATTTTTTTCATGGCTGAGATACATCAAGATGTTTGAAACTTCTAAAAACTTTGTATAAAGTTTTTGCAGATTTGTTTCTCTTGCACTGAAATCTAATGACAATGACTCCTATGAGGTTTTAGGAGTACAGTCAGATAGACATTATTTGAGCTTCACATGGTTATATGTCTTGTTGGAAGTGGTCAATAGAGGCTTTGTACACTGGCCAAAATCTGATAGAGATGATGAGCAACAATGATCTAGTAGTCTGTGGAGGTTAAATAGTGATCAGCTAGTACAAGAGGGCCAATTTATACCAAGAACGTATATAATATGTGCCCCACAGCACTATACCACCCCCAGCTAGAAGCACTGATAAGGAGGCAGGAAATGATTTCATCTTGTCTGACCCAATCATCTGTATGTTGCTGCAGGAATAATAACTACTCTGACCAGGGAATGCTTTTTCCAATATTTTATTGTTCAGTTTTGGTAACCCAGTGAGAACCTGGGGGTCTTGGGCTGCAACAGCTCATCTGCTTCAAGGGTTAATGCATTTTATGTTGAAAGGAGCAATGCCACATATTGGAGTTTGAATGATTTGTGCGGAACAGCTGTAACATGTTTGTAAGTGTTAACTTATAACATTAGGGCCGCAAAACAGGAGGGTTAAAACCAGGACAGCTAGAAGATGAGAATTCTCAGTGCAAGAGTGGGATGTTATGAACTTTGTTTCTTGAAGATGTTTTACTTTAAAACACTAAAAGTTTTTTTTTAGGTTCTTTATTTTTATTTTTTATTTTTTGCAAATTTGATCAAACAAAGATTCCTTAAACCTTATCACCCTGTTCAAACACAACTACTTTTCTGCTTGAACTAAAAACCCTGCTGCTTTGGCGCTGTATACTTCTGATATTATAGAAGGCTCTGTTTCTCACATTAAATTGTCACTCCAACAGATGTTATGGATAAACTTAAGTATCATTTTGGAATGTTTATTTGTTCTATCCATCCCTAATTACAATCCTAATATTATATGATTAATATAGGTAGTTATATGATGAGTCACACTGAGAATTTAAAGAAGCAATCAAGCACTTTCATGCTTCAAAAAAACATTGAAAATCCAATGATTTCCTCTTCGCTTTATTCAACATTTTCAACACCATCACAAATACGAGTTAAACAAACCACTGCAAGTTAAAAGCACTTTCTGAAATAATAATGAGGTTGATGGGCACAAAAGAGGCATTTAACACTTCTTGAAATGCTTGTTTTTTCACCTTGGACGCTACAAGAAGCTTCTAGTGTGATAACACAATCGACCATTACTAAGAAGAACAGTTTTCACCCTGTCAAGAGTGACTCACTTTATGGCAGCATTAGTTTGAAATTCAGTGACAGTCTTTCAGGTAAAGCTATTCATTTCTGACAGATTCCCAAGATTTATTTAAAGGTACATAGTCACCTTATTTGAATTTATATGCCAGTAACTTATTCCGGTTGTGGACATTGTTATAACAAATGATGGCATCCTGCTGGCTTATATATTTTTATCTTTAAAGCTTTGTTTTTGCTTTTTTTCTCTGTATATTTACATTAAGATTTTAAGACGGGGTTGTGTCACTGTACATGCGTACTGTTGATCAACAAGCAAAAGCAATGGAGGCAATGCAAGAATCGAAATAACAGCAAAGTTGCAAAAAGCGGGGAAAAGAACTATCATATAACACTATCAGGACTTGGAGTATATAGCCTTATTTTGGTACAATCCTATAATGTGACAATGTTGCTTTTGAAAAAGGGGTCTCAAACTCAAGTCATTAACAGCGGGTGTCGTGCATCTTTCAGTTGTGACTGTCTCAACATACTTGACTCCAGCATGAGCTCAGTAGCAGAGTTTCACATCTGGTAGTGAGCTACCGTATTTTCACGACTATAAGGCGCACATAAACGTCTTTTTTTTTTCCTCAAAATGTGCGGTGCGCCCTTTGGTGCGGTACACTATGTGTGTTGCAACTGCGACTTTTGAGACCACCTCATTGAGGAGATGATGAAAGAGTGGCTGAATGTAAGGAGACCAGGTGTTTTTTTTTTTCCACTCATCACCACACCATCGCTGTTAATCTGACTCCATGCGTGCCCATCTCACAGCTGATGTGAAAAACATGGTGAAACAAATTAATGCTGTGCTCGCTGTGAACCGGACGCAGCAGGTGCAGCAGAAGCAGCGAGTTTACATGCAAAGTCAACGGTTGACGAGCGTATAGACGCAGCAAAAGGTCCCGCAGCGCAGCAGGTGCAGCAGAAGCAGAGAGTTTACATGCAAAGTCAAAGGTTGACGAGCGTATAGACGCAGCAAAAGGTCCCGCAGCGCGTTTTGAGCAGCAGGCGCAGCGAGTCGGGAGCGCGCCGCCAACGCGCTGCTGCTGCTCGAGATGGAAAAAATTGAAGTTTTGCTGCTGGAAGCGCCGCATCAACGAATCAGAGAAGCTGATCTGGGAGCTGACAGCGAGACAGACACAGCGCTCTGATGACATATTATATTAACGCAAATGAAAAAGGCTGGATGGATGAGGAGATGATGAAAGCGTGGCTGAGGCAGGTGTATGTGAGGAGACCAGGTGGTTTTTTTCCACGCATCACCATCGCTTTTAATATGTGACTCCATGCGTGCCCATCTCACAGCTGATGTGAAAAACATGGTGAAAAAAAATAAACGCTGTGCTCGCCGTTATCTCGGGGTCTGACAAAGGAACTTCCACCGCTCGACATCGGTGTGAAGCGGCCGTTCAAAGTAAGGCTGCGAGTGGCGTGGGAGCGATGGATGACAGACTGAGACCACAGTTTCACGATAAGTGGAAGGCAGCGCCGGGCAAGTTACGCCACCTTTAGCGGATGGATTGTTGATGCTGGGACTAACGTGTCTGCTGGCACTGTTGTTCAAGCTTTCGCAAAAGCCGGCATTATTTCTGAGGAGCCGCGCTGCACGGAAAGTGACTCTGTGTGTATATATCATGTAAAACTGTAACTAGAGCGTGTAACAAAAGTAATTTCCCTCTGGGATTATTAAAGTATTTCTGATTCTGATTCTGACAGCGAAGAAGGGGAAATTGGCATGTCTGATTTAGCGCAGCTGTTTAATTCAGAAACAGAGGATGAGGACTTTGATGGGTTCGATTAATACTTTGTAATAAATACATGAATAAAGCACAAACATACTCAGTTTTGCTCCGGCTCTATTTTTCTACCTGAAAACTTAATTCAACAGCAGCCTCTGGGCCGGGTCTCCTCCTCTTCACCGCGGCGGCTGGCAGGTGTTTTTTCATCTAAATAATCTAAATCTTGCAGCTATATTTGCTGTGATCAGTGGGAATAAAGTAGTTTTAATATGTTTTTTAAGTGAGAAAGTCCACCTGAAAACTTAATAATTGCAGTCAGTTCATCCAGATTATCTATTTCTGTCGGAGGCGCTCAGACTCCCACATACCAGCGGTGCACCGACAGTAGAAATCCCTTCATCAGCAGCCTCTAGGCTGGGCAGCCTCCGGGTTCATGCAGTGGCTGGCAGGTGTTTTTCATCTAAATAATTTAAACTGCAGGCACCAGGATACCGGTAATAAAAGCGAACATATTCTGTCGGCAGGTTTCAGGATTTTAAGTTCATTTAGGAGTGATCACAGCGCTGTCATCTGCGATGTGTCTGTCTCACGGTCAGCTCCCAGGTTTGATTAATACTTTGTAATAAATACATGAATAAAGAACAGTCATACTCAGTTTTGCCCCCGCTGTATTTTTAAATATGCAGTAGAGCTATTTAAAGGTAGTAGAGGACATGTACCTGTATATAAAAAACGTGCCCTATAGTCCGGTGCGCCTTATGTGTGTGTTAAATACAGAAATGGCACACATAACTGAGACTGCGCCTTTTAGTACGGTGCGCCTTATGGTCGTGAAAATACGGTAATTTAGCCATTTGATGCACATGTGTAGGAAGGGACAACTTTACAAGTTGCAGGATACCGGCCTTCAAGGATTTAAGTATAACACCCCTGCTTTAAAGAACACGTTTTTCTTGTACGGGCAACCTGCAATAAAAAATAAACAAACAGTATTTTGTTTAACTTCCCTTTAAAATGCCAAACTGTTGCTGCAAGTTTTACAGAGAATGTGGTTTCTTAAGAAACATTTGAAACCTAACATTTGTTACAAAGGCTGAGGCATCCCTATCTTTTATCCTCGAGGTTTTTGCTCCCCGAGCTAAGGATTTTTAAAAGCCATTTTCCAGCAGCCTCTTCCGTCAATTTCCTGTGACGGGGGGTAATTTTATCTCTGAAAAAAGGATGGGTGTTACCACAATAACCTCGATGGCTTTTATCAGACACACACCACAAGCACAACTTGGGGGGAAAAAAAGGAAATCATTCTGGTTGCCTGATATTCTTTTTTTTTTTTTTCCTCTCACTTTGTGAAAAGTGGAAGTATCCCCTATTTGACAGATTGGTGCAAAACATGATAGGAATGAAATGTCCCAAAAAAATATAACATTCAACTTGTCAAACACAGAAGAAAGGGTTGGGAGAGTGAAACTATAAAATTACGGGTTTGAGCAAGGCAACTGATGAATCATCAGTGTATATTTTCGAAGAGTAAAAATCTGATAAAACGTGATTATTAAAATCAATAAAATAGACTAAAAAACCTTTTACGGTCCTGACCTCTTTGGTCTTCTTTTTGAGTTTTCAGTTATTTATGTCATTCTGTTTGGTTGGTCATTGAATTCCTTTGTGATATATTTAAAGTGTGTGGCAAAATTTGAGCTACTCTCTGTTGCCCCCTTGTGTCTGTCTCCTTTCCACTTTGTCCTTTCTAGTTACTCCTATCCACACATGCTCCATATCAGCTGATTAGCCCATTCTTTGTTCTGTCACCCATATATAGACGTTCTCTGCATTACTCATTTCTGGTTTCTCATTTTTACTTGGCTTTTCATGTGTGTTTTCTCCTGGTTTTTGGTTTCCTGTATTTTGTTCCTGTATTGTGTTTCTGTTGCCTTCTTTTATTTTGTTAAACCTGCAAGAACTCATCTCTGCCTCCCACATCTCTGTTTCTGGTCCTCAACCAACCTCAACCCAACCTGAAAAGGCTGAAAGAAGGAAGATACACTTTACCCACTTCCTTATAAGAAAAACAACAAGGCTATAAGGAATTATTTTTCTAGACTGAAAGGCTTTACTAACTAAAACAGGAAGAGTTGGCAACTTACTGATTAACAGATTTTCTGACTAATTACTGTTTTAGCTTTTAAAAGTCTTGCTACTTTCTATTTTTGAACTGCACAAAAAAGTTTGATCTATGAAACCTTTAATTTAGCTTTTTAAGGCATGTACTGTACAAAATTTAAGAAGAAATTTTTGTTCATATAAAAAATTCTATTGACATTTACACAATTTAGAGAATCATTATGTACTCCCTCGACTTGTAAATGCTGTCAATACCAAATCCTGATTACGCTTGCTTTGGAGGAACCAATGCCCCTTCTTAGTGCCCTACGCTAACATTTCCCTTTAAGAAAGTCTGAAACTGTTCTAACTCCTTTGAACTATCTGTCTAATCCATCGATATTATCTAGCTAATAGATCTAGTAGGAGTTAGCCCTTCATTCTTTGAAGCATCCTGGGGGAATCTGGGCCCAGATTGCATGTGCAGATCTGAATGTGTATTTTATTAAGAAAAGAAAACCACAATATGATTAAGGTAACGAAGCATTCAGACATGCTGCCTTTTACCATCTGCGTGCATTCGATGGTGACCCATTTTACCTTAAATGGACATGTATATGTACACAATAAGGTTTCATGAAAGAAAATGTTTCATCAAGTGAAAAAATTAATATTTAGGGAACCACTGAAGAAAGTGAGTAGTTTGTCTGCTACGCAAGTTAAGCAAAACTCGTAAATAATACATAAAATCAAGGCTTATCATTGTTTTGAGGATAGTTATTGATCCTTAACTAGTGTAAGAGCAGAGATAGTTTCACTTGTTCAGTGGCAGAAAGGTTGAAATACAAGATATCAGATTAACTGTTTTCATTGCTTTTGTCGATCTGCATATTTCCAATCAACATACTTCATTAAGTGCCCCTTTGACATTTGTTGTTAGCTTTACCAGTGATTTAGTGACTTAGTGGAATAATCAGTTAGGCATCTCAACATGGCAAAAATGATTTTGCTAGCTCAGTTACTCTAACGTTTGGAGAGAAAGGGAATTTATATTGTTGCATTTGAAAATGTGTATATATTTATTACACATTTTAAAATTTATTTTTTTCACTATTTTTATTTAAACCTCACTTTCATTATTTAAGGGTTCCATTTTGTTTTTGCTTTATTTCTGGTGTAAGGTATGAGTTTTTGATAAAAATTAAAATTTTAAAAATCCTTATTGATAGAAGCTATAATTAGCCTTTTTATCTGATATATATAAAATATATTTTGATAACACCCCCCCTCCCCTAAAAAAAAAAGAGGCAATGAGATAAGGAAAGGTATAGATCTCCGTAACATGCATTTATAAGTACTTACACCTTAGGAATAATTTTGCCCATTTTGTCTGTTGCTAAATTAAAGGAAGGATTGAAAATAACTTTGAGTTGTTAAAACATGGATGCTGGTGTAATTAAAAGATATTACAATAGACCCCATCAGCATACACAGAGAATACCCCTATGGTCATCACCAACAGTATGATGCACATGTTATCACTCAATTAACCCAGCTTGCACCAGTGGTAAAGTGGTGCTTGTTAACCTGCAAACTTGCTAAAGTCACCGTCCCTTGTCTAACGAAACTGCATATTCACTACATGTGCATGCCTCTGAATACCCCTCTGGCTCCCTGGCATGGTGCAGTCATTATGCTAATTACTTAATTATTCATGAGAGATTATAAATCAGTGTGAAATGATGAAATCTCACCTGATAATCAACTTAGATACCTGGATGAGGATATTAAGAAATTTCATGCTTCAGAGGAGAATGAAATTAAAGTTTAAAATTCATTATAGGTATAAGTAGATAGAGAACATTTGAGGGTTTTTATACTTATCTATAATTAGATTTAGAAAAATGTATTTGAACTCAGCAGAAAGTTTTAATCAGACCATATCAGCGAGGTACATACCTTTAGTTTTTCGTAGCGGTCACTTAGAGCTGCCACTTGGTGATCCCTGTGCCTTCCCACCAGTTTGCACAGTGAGCATATCAGCTGATCATCTATGACACAGTACATGTTCACCTTTTCCTCCTCATGCTCCAGGCACTGGAGTCCTCTGAGGTGGGAATCGGGCATAGGCTCAATAAGCCGGTGACCGGTGAATGGCTTCTTGTTTGGGTGAGTTGCTCTGAGGCATTCTTCGCAGTAAGAAACTTCACATGTCACGCATGTCTTAACGGCATCCTGAGGTGGGTCCTGCTCACAGAATTGGCATTGGACTGGTTCCGGGGCAGTTTCCGGGCTGGACATGGCGGCACTGACAGGAACCAAAGCCAGCCGATTGCTCCCTTCCTCGCTGGGAGAGTTAGGCCCACTGTGGGGGCCGGCCAATGGCAGCGGTAGAGGAAGCCCAGCTGAGGAAGAAGCCCTCTGAACTCTGTCGATGATGTTCTGCAAAGTCACGTTTCTTTTGAGTCCCTCTAATCCACGCTCTGGACTCAGGGAAATTACATACCTACAAGTGGGGCACTGAAAAGCACCAATATTCTGGACGGACTCGTTAGTGGCGCAATGGGAGACGAGGATACGGTGGGCACAACCAAAGCACAGGCTGTGAGCACAAGGGAGCAGCAGTGGGTCTTCGAAGAGCTCCAGGCAGATTGGGCAGGTCAGCTCTGACTCCAGAGTGTCCATCCTGCTCAGAAGAAGCCAGGCGGGATTGCGTGCAGCTTCAGCAATATCAAGAAGAGCCGCTCAGATGTCTGCAGGCCAGAGAAAGGAGCAGGAGAACAGAGAGAGTAAAAGGAGAAAGAAAGCAGAGGGATTTAAGATTAAATGGTGTGAAACGGCTTATTTTCTTTAGATTTCTTTGGAGGGCTTATATCTCAATGGGGCTGCTTAACAACAGCAGTGTTGGGAGCTTTTTTTTTTTTTTTTTTTTTTTTTTTTTACTTAACCGTAGATCCTGTGAAACCCCAAAACAACCAGTGTTGCAACATAACTATTTAAAGGGGTAAATTCTAGATTACATATTATAAAAAGCCAGAGTTTTTTTTGCCAATGAGTAAAAGGCCAGCTCTCTCAACATGCTTTTTCTTGGTTTACCCTTTACAGATTAGAGATAGATAGAGGTATGTGTGTGCAAGAGCAGCACCTTTCATTGGCTAAACCTATATTACCAAGACCAATCTGGCAGCTACCAAGAATTTATTTCCAACTATTACAATAAGTGTTTAAGGAGAAATTTGTGGAAAGGTGGTTGGAACTGTACTGAAGCAAAGCTCAACGCCTGCTATGGACATCTCTTAATATATTAGCAAATACATAAACAGGTTGTTGCTGTTCCTCGTTAGCATTTAATTCCTACATAATTCCTCATAAAGTGTGACTATGAAATTGTATTAGAACTCTAATTTCAAAGTTCTCTTAAAACTTAGATTTTTAGGTTCTTATAAACATGGGAAGGAAGGTTTTCGTATAAGGGGAGGCAGTGGCAGCTGCTGCTACAGCTGTAGCCAGTTAGTAATTAGAACACGAGTCAACTTATTCCCCCCCCAGAGTAGGTTTTTTTTTATATTTCAATCAGTCCTGTCATTCTCACACTGTTTCATAAGCTTTGCAGTTTCAAATAATGTTTGTGCTGATAGTGCACACCCAGTAACCTTGGTTACATATGAGATGTAAGGCAGTGCTTTGCTAGCTGGAATTATAAATTCAGTCAAGATGACCCTATTAAATAATTTTTCCCTTTTTACAGACAGTTTGAAATGGTAATCTCTTCATTTTTAATCAAATTATGTCCCTTGGTCTAAAGAAATGCTCTAAATCCACAGTTTAATAATCTAGTGAGGGCAATATCAGTTGTGAATGATTAAAGCAGAGCTCTCAAGCTTCAACCATCAAGGGTCATTGTCCTTCAACCTGTCTCCCTAATCTAACACATCTAGATTACACATCTGAATTACCTACTTAGCATGCAGTGGTCCAGCTAATGGGCTAGCCAAGTGGGACAAAAGATTTGGGTCCTGAGGCCTTGAAGTAGAGACGCAGAAGTAGAGGCTCCAGTTTTAAAATTTGAATTCATTAACTATATACACCTGCTGTTTATATAAATGTGCATTTTAAAATTCCATTAAAGTGTTTTTTTTTTTTTTTTGTAATGGCAATGCATAAAACCACATCTAAACTTTCATGAAATATAATCTTTTTGGCCCAATTCTTATGTGCTGCTAACTCAAAACTATAAACTGTGAAGTTACAGTGACAAGGCATAGTAACACTTCTTGCATGGCTGCCTGTGGCTTGGAGCTCATGAGCTAGTTTGGACAAATGTGGTACAAACCATATAAGTAACTCTCTTTTTAAGTGGTGCAGTTGTTATTTCTGTAATGCAAAAATGAAACATACAGCTTTGTCTCAAAATTAAGAAGTTAAATGTAAGACTTCACTCTGTGTGGTAGAACACCTTTGGGGAGATGTAATCCATTGTTATAAATCTTTTATGTTAAGTGTAGTCTTGCACAGTAAATTAAAGAGGCAACAGATGTATGGAGTATTATAATTTAGTGTTAGCTCAAAAGACAAAAATAAATTTTACATACACGCTCACTATGGTGAGGTGGTTCTCACTGATGCCCTCTGTGTAGAGGCTTTGTACCAGTTGCTGCAGACCAGCAGATTCTGCAACAGCTTTTCCCCACTGCCATCAGACTGTTGAACTGTTAAACTCTAAAGTAGACTCTGCATCACACTTGCAACATTATTTTCCACTACTAAAATTTGAACTTTTATAATCTTTTTAAATAGGACACAACTAAAATATTCTATTTGCATTTGGCACAATAGTTATTTTGCAGAGCACTGAACCTTTGGATATTAATGCCCATTTGCACCATTATTTTTACACTAGTTTCTTTTCTACACTGTTTACATTCTGATCACTGCGGCACTTTATAAACGGTAATGTTAATTTCCCTGTTGTAGGCTGTTCATTTCAATGTTGTAATCTGTATGCATCAGAATTTCGCTTTGTATAACCTCTGTGCATACAAAATGGCAATAAAGTTTTGTCTAGATATTTGACATTTTAATTTCCAGCATTTTCAACGAGGGTTTTAATTGTGGGCCATGTAGTTTTGTATCTGGCACTTTTTCTGTTGTAGTTTTTTTTTCCCCCTTAGAATTCTGCCACCCAAAAACAACATTGTTTGTAAGTTGTTCCCCATAGGAGAATTATACTAATTCCAAATATATAACATTTTCTCTGTATAAAAATCGAATATTTTTTTTTTTACTTATAGAGATCTGTTTTAAAATCTTTTTTCCCCATTTATTTCTAAATGTGGATTTATGCAGAAATATAATCTGGACAGGCTGCAATGGACAGGCTGCAATGAAAACCTTTAGTACTGCGTGCATGGTAACCTTGAGCTCCATTTATGTTGCTACAAACTTTCCCATGAACTACAACAGTTAACAAAAAGGCTATGCTGCTGTACTAAAATTATGTTTTTATTGCAGGAATTGGATCCAGTCTTATCTCTTACCAAGGGGGATTTTCTTTCTGATGCTGTCAAGCAGTATCTCATCTATTTTGTTTTTCATTGACAGTTTGTTGTGTGTGGACCTACTTAAAAACTTTGTTTTATAGCGGACCTTAATCCATGGACAACAGTCACTTCCATATATGCTGAAAGAGAATGATCGAAGAGATAATAAACGGAACTGAAACTGAATCTTTCAGCAGATGTCACTGTTGGATGAGATTAAAGTGCTACTGCGTTAGACAATAGGATGCTGAGAGCTCAAAGTATCTTTCCCCGTTCTCATGCATAGTTTCCTCTGATCAAAAAGAGCGGGGGGGGGAAAGTGCTGCAGATAAACTGTCCCCCACTTGAGATTTCTGCAGGGCTAGCAGTTTTCAGACCCTGTGATGTTTGAAGAAGGATAAGAGTTTTGTGTTGATGAAACGGAAAAAGGACGTATGGAAAAAGTTTTTTTTTTTTTTCCCCCCCTTACAGATTGCTCCTTTTTTGTTTTCTTTTCAACTCTATTTTTTCTTGATCATCACCAACAATTCATAGAAGTATAAGTTATTTTCAGTTGTTAATTGGGGTATATAAGAATTCTAAATCAACCTTACCCTTTGTAAAGAGAAAAAAATAACCCAAATTTGCTTTTGATTAACCATACTCTTTATTTTATTTTTCTCCCTGACATCAATGAGACTGAACAACCTCAATGCAACACACCAAATGTAGATGCAAAAAAAATTCCCTGTGACCTCTGTCAGTTTAAAAAGAGAAGGCCTATCAGCAGGCCATAGCCATTAACTAGAACTAAAAGTAGCACAATTCTGCAGAAATGCACAAAAAGCATAGCAAACAGGACCCCAGTAATGAAGCAAATAGTTGTTGAAAATGTCCAAGACATTTGTATGCAGTCAAATTGTTAATGTAATCATTCATCAAGTTATATAATCGCCAAAATGAATCATGGAGGAAAATAAAGCGGCATTAAGGTAGAAAATCTTCCAAACAGAGCCAGAGAATATTCTCGACATTGAGAATCCTGAAGAAATTGCCTGAAAAGATAAGATTGTGCTTTCAGATAAAAACCCATAAAACAAATTTGTTAACAGTAAAGGCACCCACAAATGCATAAACTGAATCAGGCAGCAAAGAGAGGGTGAGATGCCTCCAACCATACCGTAGGGGACACTGTTGTGCCATGAAGTAAGGTGACAGAGTATAAAGCAAAAAAGGATTTTTTTTTTTTTTTTTTTTACTTAAAATTCAAGTTGTTTACTTTTCCATCATAATTTTCTGCCTCAGGACTGCCACAGCTGTCACAATCTGTGAATAAGCAGTCTGCCATGCTGGCACCTCAGAAATGCCAGTACCTATAGTCTTCAGTGGGGGGCAATATAGAACTGGTTTAGCAGTGGGGAAGTTTGAGTTTATTTTACCCCCTCTTCACTGCAAATTGCAAATATGAAAACGGTGCCTATATATATATATATATATATATATATATATATATATATATATATATATCTTGATATTCATAATGTATGAAATGTCCTGTTTTCTTTTTTCCCACTGCCACACTTGTTTTTCCGAGAATGTGTTCTTACTGTAAACCTCACAACAGTTTATACTGATACTTAATAAAAACTATCTCACCATGTTTTCAAAAGGACACCACAGCATTTTTTGTATATATAGATGCCTTCATAATTTGATTTAGAACCATTTAGATTCAAACTTTCAAATGTCATTGAAGGTTTTCTGTATCTTCAGTGCTGTAAAAATTTAAAATAATCTACTCTACATATATATATATCACAGATGTTTAACTGTATATAACTTATTTTTAATGATGTATAGAAATAGAAGAATAAATAAGTATTGTAATTTTGCACCTCTTAAAATTTATTTATTAACATTTTATGCATGTAGAGGAGCTCAGGAATGTATTCCTATTTAAAGATTTATTCAAACAATTTTTCTTACTTAGAAAAGTCAATCTCCAAGTACAAATGGTGCACACCCACAACAAAAAAAATGTTGCTTACTAGTGCAAACCAAAAAAAAGTAATCTAACTTTAGCTAAAACCTACATAGGAATTTTTTTTTTCTTTGTATGGTCAGAAAAAATTAATTGTTGTATTAAGATGAATCTATTTTAGAAAGTATATGTGAAGCGACAAAGCTTTTCTCATAACAGGATATTTAAGAAAAAACTATGATCACATTATGTGATTTCAGTGCAACAAAACGTCACAAAAGCAAATTTTCTTGTTAATAATCACGACGCTGCCTAAACATTGAAACACAAAACATTTCCTCACATTGTGACCATGAATGGAAAAAACTATGTATGACTTATTTAATATGGAAACAGATGTTTAAATAAACTATTGCTTCAGAAACATACTACTTTTTTATTTTATTTTTTGTTTTTTTTATGTACAGACTCCTAATATAAACTAAAATTGAAAAAAAGAACACTTAATTAGGTTTAAATCTAGAAGTGAAGCCCATATGTACATTCCATATACATAAAGAAACTTAGTAAATTGGTTCCTTTGAATACTTTTAAGCTGAGAATTAGATGTTTTGAGTTAGACTCCCTCACATGTCAATGTTTTAATTGAAATTTTATTGTAAGTGCATATTTGGCTTTTATGTGTGTGTCTTTGTACGTATGTAATGATGTGATGTAATTTTGATGCCTATCTTGGCCAGGTCTCCCTTGCAAAAGAGATTTTTAATCTCAATGGGTATTACCTGGTTAAATAAAGGATAAATAAAAATAAAAAAATAAAAATAAATTGATAGAAAACTTTCATTTGGCACAACTAAAAGGCAAAACACCAGGTTTACCCATTCATCTTGAAACTTCTGTGAACTCAGACTTCCTTGTTCAATTATTTTCAATTAAAAGTAATTTGCTTAACTGTATTTTTAACTCTAAAAAGTTAAATAAATAATTACATCCATCTTACTGTATATGTATTGTTTAACTGAGCTGAGACTGATAGGAAAAAAATAAATAAAAATTATTACTGTCAGAACCTCCTCTTAACCAGCTTGTGTTAAGTTCAGCTTATTTTTAAATTGCAGATTTGTCAAAAATGATGTATACTATATCTCTTGGTACCTTTATGTAACAAAGGGCTCCAGTATAAGTCTAATACTTAAAGTCCTAGTTGGTCCATATTTTACTTCGATTAAAAAAGTTATGTTTCTGTTTGTTATGTTTTTCGTTTGATATTCAGTTTATGTTTGCTATTTGTTTTATAAGTTTAAGTTTTTTTGGTATAATATTTATGATGTTGTGTTCCTTGGGTTTTTCTCAGTTACTGTCTCAGTCTTGGTTCTGTTATATTTTCTTTTTATTGTTCAGTTTTGCTTTACTCCTTGTTTTCTAGTGTTAGTGGTTTTATTTTTTATTATGCTGTGTTCTCTGGGTTATTCTTAGTTACAGTTTCAGTCTTGGCTCTGTTATGTTTTTCTTTTGAGAGTTCAGTTTTGCCTTACTCCATGTTTTATAGTCTTAGTGGTTTAATTTTTATTTTGTTCTTTCTGGTTATTTTCTGTTCTCAGGTTTTTATTTGTTGCCCTCTGCTGCCCTCTTGAGTTCTTTTTTCTCTTGCTCCTTGTTTCTGCTCTGCTCACACCTGCTCCTAATCTGCTCGTTAACCCTCTCTTTGTTTCAGTCTCCTACAAATACTCTTGCTGTTCAGTTCCTCAGTGCTGGGTCCTTGTCTAACCTCATCAGTCTTCCTCCTACTTGTGTCTCTGAGCCATCCTCCTGGTTACAGTTCTTCCCTTGATGACTCCCAGGTTTTTGGTAAAGTTTTTACTTGTGTTTTCTTTCTTTGAATTTTTGGACTCCTGGTTTCTCGTTTGTTTTTGGACTTTGTTTTCATTTGGATTTTGGATTCCTGTTGCCTGTGGTTTTGGACTTTGTTTTTCAGTTCTCTCCATTAAATCAACTAAAAATGCACCTCTGCCTGCCTGCCTCTGCATTTGGGTCCACAATCCACAAACAAACCTTGAAAAAAGTCTGATTGAAAGCCAGTTTCATTATCTGACTGGTCTCTTTTTAAATAGATGATATGGACAATTAAAAATGCAAAACAAATTTTGAAACTATTAATCTTTATATATTATACATTTTTGTATTAATTTTTGATGATTACAAAAATGTATAATATCTCTTGTGTTTCCCCAAGTGATGGCGATACTTTATGTTGGGCTGTGGATAAGAAATATTTTTCTACCGGTTGGCAATGTTCTACCCTTTGCCTTGGAAGAATACAAACCCAATATTGTTAATATAGAATCGCGACTCCAATCATTTGACAGGTGTCATTTTTAAATAAATGGCCACACAGTGTGTTGTAGTTGCACCAGTTTTCTTCGTTCTCCTTTCTTATTTGGTGTAAAGTCATTGCTTATTTTGAATGTGATCCACAAATAGTAAAGAGAGGTTATGGGGCTTTTCTGAAATTAACTTTTGATCTCTCCTGCAGTTTATATCTGGGCCGTGTTCCTCCCACAAGTCTGGGCTCTGCTTCTTTAATCTTTCATTAACTTTGGATCCAGGAAGGTAGCGGCTTTCCCTTCCACTCATGGTTTAGGGTGGAATAAAATTTTAATAGGTACCCTTTTTGTCCATTTCCTGAATAGGGATACAACAAAAGCAAAATGTGGACAAAAACAGAAGCGAATCTCTGCCTGTACTTAAAAAATTATGACTATGGCATCACTTTACAGAGCACACAAAATAGGGGCCCTTTATATTCCTTAGTTAATATAAATACACACATAATGCCAATTTTAATTATTAATAGAGGTATGAACCGAAAGAACATATAACATTCTGGTGATTACAGTAAATGTCTTAAAGCTACAAAACCTGGGTTTAAACAAACAAAAAAAATGTGTGCAAGGATCCATTTGTGATTTGATGCAAGCGGCTGTGGCAGTCCATGATGTAGATACAAGAAGTAGGTCATTCCCATTGACCTGGCTCACATAATCAGCGTACACTGTGTGTGTCACTTGATGATCTCGGCGTTCCAATTCTCTGTCTCCCTCAACTCGGACGAAGCGGATAAAATGTAGCAAAGCACACGGCGAAACGATAAATGCGAGCAGACGAGGGCAAAGGCATCCAAGTCGGAGGGTACACATATCTGTCTGTCAGGGTTTATAAAATCATGCCTTAGGACCAAAACAAACCTTGCTCAGTGAAAACTGATGGGACAGAGTTGACTGGAGATGAATGCATTAGTACTTCATTGCAAAACATAAAAACAATCTTAGAGATTTAACTGTTTCCTCATCAAATTTGGCACAACACATGCCTTTAAATGTAACCTACTTTCAGAAAGAACACGCTTCAAAAGAACAGGCCCTAAATTATTTACATCTTTTCTTAAATACCAAATAATTTATATATTTTTATGCATCTTAGTGTCACATCTTGCATCTCTTTCAACCTTTTACCCACTCAACACCTTGTTTGCATCAATCTCTCGAAGAAATCAGTAGATCCCACAACTGTTTACTGGATTTGTGCAGGAAATGGGAGGGGAAAAATAACATAATCTGCCTTCATAGTGGCCGTGGGCGACTAATGCCAGATTAACCCTTGACCTTGCTTTATGGTTGAGAACCAGTTGGCTTTATAAGGGGTCGTGCAATCCGGATCCTTTCAGCAAAACATGTGCCCTACTAATTGATTTCTACAGGAAACGATTAAATCGAAAACTTTACTCTTCTGTTCTAATCGCATGGAAAGTCTGATGCCACCCTTTTTTTTTTTTTTTCAAATATGTTAATGCACATGCTAAACATTCCTTCTAGAAAGTATACAGTGTGTCTTGTGGTATTGGTGAGAGGAAATTGGTGCTTTTTAGTCTGCAGCCTTACTTGTACATGTTGTGCAATATATCCAATTAGGACATAGGATGAAGAAACACAGTTGGGCAATGAGCATGCCCAGAGCAGAAGCTAACGAGGTCCAAAACTCCAGTGTTAGAAGAGGGATCAAAAGCTTTCAGCTTTAGATGTCAAACTCTGCAGAGAATTGTGTGTCTGCATCTCTTCATCTCTCCCACCTTGTTTTCTCTCCATCTTAGCCTCTATTCCCTTCATTTTCAAGATCTTACAAAGTTACTGAAACTAAAAATGGTCAGCTGTACACAAACACCTTTGTCTCCGAAACCCTGCCACGTTTTTATCCCTAATCCGCTTCCTGCCACACTGGCTGTGACCAATCCAGCCCTTCCATGGTCTAAAGTGGGCAGTCACACTTTAACAGGATTGGTTGGTCATAGTCTGGGATGCAGAGGATATTAGTGATGATAACAGAGGGAGACGTTTTTGATTGTTTATGCGTGGCAAGGTCTGTCTGGGATCTCACTTGTGTGACCCAGATTGGCCTCGGTGATGGAGCTAAAAAATTCAATGCGATGTTTGTGGGTCAGGAGATTATAGGAGACATAAAACAAGTCTGGTGTTGACAGTGTGTTTCATCAGAGTCTATGATCTTCCCTGCTATTAAAGAAAGACTGGTGAGACCAAAAAGTAAACATGTTGGCATTGCATATTTCATTTCTAATCAAGACGTAGGCTTAAAAAAAAAAAGAAAAAGAAAACGGAAAAGCTGCCACAAAATGTTATATAACGTCTATAAATTTAGACCTAGAAGAACCTCACCACATAACACCCTGCAGCCCTCTTACTCTTTGAGATTTTACTCATATCCATCACATATCTTAATTTGGCTTAGCTGGGTGTAAAATTAATAAACCCCCACTCCAAATTAAGTTTTCAGTTAAACTTAGCTTGTCCAAAAAAATCTTAAATTAAATGAAAGAACAATGGGAATCTGGTATGACAGGTGGTTTTTCAAACCCTTCTATGTGAAGCTGAACCTTTAATAACTGTTAAGACCGATGGGGAAAAAAAAAAAAAAAAAAAAAACTATTTGACAAAGTTAACATGAAATCTTAGTCCTATACTCATAGGCAACGATCTCCACTTCAGGAATGCAATGAATTTGTCTCATCTCAGACACTACAGCAGCTATCATACCCACTGTAATATATTTCAGGAGCACTTGTGTAACAGAACCTTGGAAATTGAGGTATGTTTGTGATCAGCACTTGGTTTACAGGGATAATGATGCCCCACAGCATGAAGGTTACTCCCAAGAGTTCCTAAAACTTAAATTAATCCATCTTGTCCTCCACACGCTGAAGGTTTACGGCGCCTGTAGATGCAAATACAGCAAAACAGCTCCGAGCACTGTTGGGCCGCCTCCTTGCCTCATTGTATGCATTGTTTTTAATACAGGTGCTGGTCATAAAATTAGAATATCATGAAAAAGTAGATTGATTTCAGTAATTCCATTTAAAAAGTGAAACTTGTATATTATATTCATACATTACATACAAACTCATATATTTCAGATGTTTATTTTGTTTAATTTTGATGATTACAAATGACAACAAATGAAAATCTCAAATTCATCATATCAGAAAATTAGAATATTGTGAAAAGGTTCAAAATTGATGGCCCCTGGTGCCACACTCTAATCAGCTAATTAACTCAAACCACCTGCAAAAGCCTTTAAATGGTCTTTCAGTCTAGTTCTATAGGCTACACAATCATGGGGAAGACTGCTGACTTGACAGTTGTCCAAAAGACGACCATCGACACCTTGCACAAGGAGGGCAAGACACAAAAGGTCATCGCTAAAGAGGCTGGCTGTTCACAGAGCTCAGTGTCCAAGCACATTAATAGAGAGGCGAAGGGAAGGAAAAGATGTGGTCGAAAAAAGTGTACAAGCAAGAGAGATAACCGCACCCTGGAGAGGATTGTGAAACAAAACCCATTCAAAAATGTGGGGGAGATTCACAAAGAGTGGACTGCAGCTGGAGTGAGTGCTTCAAGAACCACCACACACAGACGTATGAAAGACATGGGTTTCTGCTGTCGCATTCCTTGTGTCAAGCCACTCTTGAACCACAGACAGCGTCAGAAGCGTCTTGCCTGGGCTAAAGAGAAACAGGACTGGACTGCTGGTGAGTGGTCCAAAGTCATGTTCTCTGATTAGGGATGGGAATCGAAAACCGGTTCCTGTTAAGAACCAGTTCCGTATTTTCCGATTCCATGGCATCGTTTGGCAGCTCACTGAACGATTCTTTTTTCGATTCCCGCAGCACCAGAGCCTAGAGCGCCGGCTCTGGGGAGCACGACTTACGTCACGTTTTTTACGTAAGTTACGTACGTTACGCAAGTTACGCAAATTACGCAAGTTGGAAGAACTATTCGAGGAGGAAGACAACGAGCTGCGGTCACTTTGTGAATCAAAGCCCCGTCTTTCCTTACCCCAGAGGGTAGATCAGGAAATCCAGCTCTATAAAAGCTTGCCCTCCATCCCCTGCAGGGATAGCGCCACACTTTGGTGGTGGAACAAGGAAGATACGCTGCCCTTGCTATCTGACTGGCTGAAAACTACCTCTGTGTGCAGGCTTCCTCCACCCCATCTGAGAGGGTGTTCTCCACGGCTGGAGACACCATAAGCCCGGAAAGATCCTGTATCCTTCCAGAAAAAGCAGATATGCTCATCTTTCTGCAAAAGAACTGTTAATTTTCCCTACTACTGTTTTATAATTAGTATTTTTTGTTATTTAAAATAGGTTATTATCCCATCATTTGTTATTAGACATTGTTGGTTATTAAGTTTGTTCTTGTATATTTATTTTTCATTTAAACACAGATGTTACTCCAGTTTCACATTTCCTGTGGACATCTTGATCTTGTTGAGTTTGTAAGATTGTGCAATAGTTAAGTAAACAAAGTTGATTCTGATAATCAAACTGTTTGTTCTCCTTTTTCCCCCAAATTGGAATCGAAATAAGAATCGATAAAGAATCGAATCCTTTCATAGAATCGAAAAGGGAATCGGAATCGTGAAAATCTTTTCAATTCCCAACCCTATCTCTGATGAAAGTAAATTTTGCATTTCCTTTGGAAATCAAGGTCCCAGAGTCTGGAGGAAAAGAAGAGAGGCACTTCATCCACGTTGCTTGAAGTCCAGTGTAAAGTTTCCACAGTCAGTGATGGTTTGGGGTGCCATGTCATCTGCTGGTGTTGGTCCATTGTGTTTTCTGAGGTCCAGGGTCAACGCAGCCACATACCAGGAAGTTTTAGAGCACTTCATGCTTCCTGCAGCTGACCAACTTTTTGGAGATGCAGATTTCATTTTCCAACAGGACTTGGCACCTGCACACAGTGCCAAAGCTACCAGTACCTGGTTGAAGGACCATGGTATCCCTGTTCTTAATTGGCCAGCAAACTCTCCTGACCTTAACCCCATAGAAAATCTATGGGGTATTGTGAAGAAGAAGATGCAATACACCAGACCCAACAATTCAGAAGAGCTAAAAGCCACTATTAGAGCAACCTGGGCTATCATAACACCTGAGCAGTGCCACAGACTGATCGACTCCATGCCACGCCGCATTGCTGCAGTAATACAGGCCAAAGGAGGCCCAACTAAATACTGAGTGCTGTACATGCTCATACTTTTCATGTTCATACTTTTCAGCTGGCCAACATTTCTATAAATCCTTTGTTTTTATTGGTCTTCAGTAATATTCTAATTTTCTGATATGATGAATTTGAGATTTTCATTTGTTGTCATTTGTAATCATCAAAATTAAACAAAATAAACATCTGAAATATATGAGTTTGTATGTAATGTATGAATATAATATACAAGTTTCACTTTTTAAATGGAATTACTGAAATCAATCTACTTTTTCATGATATTCTAATTTTATGACCAGCACCTGTATAAGCTTCCTTTCTCCTTCAGAGACGTGGATTTACTTTTTTTTCCCCCATTTTCTTCCACTTTTGTTTATATTGATGCAAGCAAACTGTAGCTGGCTTTTCCGTTGATTTTGGGTCAGTAGTTATGCACATGGTCAAGAATGTATCCCATCATTGTTGGGCTTAATTTGGAAGCCAGAATTTATAAGTCTTCCTGGAGGTCATTTATATGTACTCAAGGTTTTTTGATCATCCATCTCCTTAATGGCTTAAAGGCATCTGATGGTTTCTTCTTTGAGCCCTATACACTGGCTACAAGTTTAGCTTTTAATTTGTGCAATATTTTTCTAATACATAGCGAGGTAATTTAACTACTTCGGGCCTTTTGACAACTGAACTTCTTGTGGTCTCTTCTCAGAACTTTCGTCTTTTGATTCATATTTCTAATCATGATGAAATATCACCATCTTTCCAGGCATTTAGGGTCTTCCACCTCAAGGACTCGAGTACATCTCATAAGATCCTGGATCACGTGGGGCTGGGACCACAACTTATTGGCAGATGTGTGCTCTGAAGCAGTGCAAAACTGCAAAAGCTTTAATTCCAAGTAAGTCAATCTTTTCCTTGGATAGTGAAGGTAAAGAAGACACTTTGCCAATGGAATAAAACAAGTTAATTTTACAATAAGAAAAGCTGAATTTTATTATTTCAAGTGCATAATATCTAATTATCTTATTTAAAGGGTAAAAATACTGATTCCATTGGGAGATCATTTTATTTACATACTCAAATTAAGGGTAAATACAATTAATGTAAAAACTCTCTTTATTTCTAAATCAATTTTGCAGAGGGTTGAACAATTGTTGAGGCTAAAGCTTCAAATAAGTTTTTACATTTGAAACCACCTGATTTTTTTTTTCCATTTTGGCCTATAAACTGCTGTATGGCCGAAATTAAGGTTTTAGAAACTAAAAAATGTCAGAAAAAATGAAGGTTAATTGCATAACTTTTTAGCGGCCTCTGAGAAACACAATCAAGCTTTAGTGTCTGGTCTCGCTTCTGCTTGCATTCACTGCAAAAACAATCCAGAAATTATTCAAAATTTCTTAAAATAAGTATATTTACCCTTAATTTAAGTAGGTAAATAAGATGATGAAAATGGAATGGGATTTTTTACGCTAAAAATAAGATAATACGATAATATGCACTTGAAATAAGACGATGCAATTGTTTTTTTCTTATTTTAAATGTAAATCTTATTCTTTTGTCGAAGTATCTCACTTACCTCCTCAAATCAAGAACAAATGCACTTATTTTAAGACAAAAAAGACTAGATTTAGATTTTTTTTCCAGTGTTTCATGGGTGATGCAGTATCAGTCATTCAAAATGGCCCTTCCCAGTGAAATACCAGCTGAATGGCCGCCCACTTCCCTGCCGCTCCCAGCAAAATCCCCTCCAACTTCCAGCCACTGGTCTTTCCCTGGGCATGCATATTTTTTTACCCTGACTCCACCCTTTTGCTGAATTTCACTGACCACTGATTCACTGATTTCTCTTTAGATCTTAATGTCCACAAATTGTGACAGAAATAATATTTTAGTACAAAGATTGATGGTAAAAAAAAGGAATTGCAGTGGACCAGCCAAGGGCCAATCAAGGAAAGTGGGGAAAGAAGCTGAGGTTCAGAGGTAGGGAAGAGAAAAATTCCCCACTTTCTTTAAGAGTTTATGAAAGTTTCTTTCAATCACTGCAATTACTCAGTAATGCTTTGATAAAAGTGATAACGTTGCACCATGTTCCCAGAAAGCCACTCCTGCTTCTTTGATGGGCTAATAAAAGGTTTTAAAGGGAACTTTCTGTAACCTGTGTGGTATCTGCATGCATAAGTAGGGCTCAGGGGTTAAAGCATGTGGCTGCTGCATGCAGTGCATCAGGTCAGACTTTCCCATTTTATATAAACTACTCAGGGCAGGAATAAGTAAAGCAATAATGCCTTACAGAGGGGAAATTTGTATGGGATTACAGTTTATGCTCCTAATTCAAGAGAAATTTGCCTCTGCTACTTTAGGTGATTAAGCTTTTAAGCTTTTTAAGAACTGTGGGTTTCTTTTCATGACATTTTAGCCATCAGATTTTAAAATTAAACTAGTGTAGCTTCTTAGAACAAGGCTGAGAACAGAGTGGATTCTACCACCATTAAGTTGACCAGCTGGTCTGTTGCAATTAGTATTTTTTTTCTGAGACCAGCATTTAGAAATTAGAATTATCAGACGTGAGTGGGTAGAGTTAGTGGTGTTATAATATGAAATCCCTAAAATTCTTCTCAAAACAAACTCTGATAAAGCCTAAGGAAAGTTTATCTTTGAAAAACCTTATTTGCTATTTTGGATTTAAAATGGTGCGCAATTGAAATCGGGGAAACCGCACCATTCTGTGACAAAGAAAATCTGAAAAATTAGGCATACTCTAAACAAATATGACAATAGCTTTTGTTTCACCCAGAATCTGGTATCACTCGTGGCATAAAATAAATAGAAGTTGCTTGCAAAGACTTTATGCTGGCTTTGTAAGTTAGTTGGTAAAACAGTGTTTATATAGAACTTGCTGTCTTCAGCAAGTTTTTTACAACACCTAGTCATCAGGGTCAAATTACTCACAACCCAGTGGTGGGAGTGTTTCAGCATTATCTTAGTGTTTGAGCCCTCCTGTTCCCATCTGATCTGTTTTAACCTGCCTCCTTCCAGTCATCAGGAGTTATTCTCAAGCCAGTGGTGAGTGTTTCAGCGTTACCTTAGTATTTCTGATTATCTGATCCTGACCTGCTCTGCCTCTTAACCACTGAACCTGCCTTTTCCCAGCTGGACTCCTGCTGGATTCTGCCTGTTTGCTGAACTTGGAGCTGTTTCCTGTCACCAACCTGGATTTTCCTTTGGAACCTTTTTGGAGTTCTGATCTCCTGGGTCTGTATCCTGAGTGCGTCCTTGACACCGGCTATGGCTTCGCCCTCTGGATTAACCTGTCAGGGTCCCCTGTTTTAAGCTTGTGAGAGTTTCACTCCACAACTTGGCTCCCAAACATTTTATGAAGCATGTTTTTTTTTTTTTTTACAATCCAAATATAAAACCTATTAAAAATGTTGAAAGCCAAGTTTTTAATTAGAAACATTTTACTCTGACTGTTGCAAGCTACATAAAACATTTGTACCTACTGTATGTTTTTTGGAAATACTTCCAGCCACGAGACCCACTGAAAGTTAAAACATTTTACAATGAAATCGCTGTTCAAACGCATGCTAATCTAGCAAGATTGTTTCCATTAATATTTTTATGTGCGTTTCGAAGCTTCACATTAGAAGAGCTTGATGTAAACAGCAAAATTCTAACCAACTTTCAAGAGTTTTGCAAAATGAGGTGGTTTTTGATTATTTTTTCTAACGAGTAAATTTATTGCCCACATCTTTTTCCATCTCCTGTGTAGTAAGTTCGGATGAATCAAACTTTTACCTCAGATGAAATATCAGCTATTTCTGCATGCAAGTCATAGAATCTAACCACCCTGAATGGCATGCAAAATAGCTATTACTAGCTGACAAAATCAAGTTCATAACTCTCCAAATTGCAACACGTTAATTGAAACCTCAGTCCATTACTGATCTGTGGTCCAGCTTTCAACTAGCTTTCTACCTCTACTTCCAGTTTATTACAGTGAGCGTAGTCTTAAAGGTACACAATGCAACCGGTGTTGATTTTCCAGCGAGGCTCCCCCCAGAGGGCGAAAGTAAAAGTGCACTGTCGTAAATATGCTCAGCTGTTCCCCTGGTTTCTCCGTCAAGCCAGGCACGGTTGTTTTGAGCTTAGCAGACAGGCGAACCCAGCTGGCGCAACAGAAGCAGCGAGTTTACATGCAAAGTCAATGGTTGACGCGCGTCAAGGCGCAGCAAAAGGTCCCGCGGCGCGTTTTGAGTAGCAGGTGCAGCGCGTCTGAGCAGCTGAAGCAGCGCGTCGGGCGCGTTTAAGCATCTGACGCGTGTGACGCGCCGCAAACGCGCTGCTGCTCGAGATGGAAAAATTTTATTTTTGCTGTTCGACGCGCCGCCTCAACCAATCAGAGAAGCTGATCTGGGAGCTGGCAGGGAGAGAGACATGGCGCTGATGATCAGAGCGCTATTATCACTCCTCTTAAACAGTTTATTGACGCCTAAATTAACTTAAAATGCAGAAATCTGCCGGCAGAATATGTTCGCTTTTATTATCCTGCTGCCTGCAGTTTGGATTATTTCGATGAAAAACACCTACCAGCTGCCGCTGTGAACCGCGAGGAGGCGACCCAGCCAGAGGCTGCTGATGAAGGGATTCCAACTGTCGGCGCACCGCTGGTATATGGGGGTCTGAGCAGCTCCGACAGAAAAAATATTGGAAGGCAGGATTGTACTGTAATCTGGAGGAACTGACTGCACTGATTACGTTTTCAGGTGTATTTTCTCACTTAAAAACATATTAAAACTACTTTATTCCCACTGATCACAGCAAATATAGCTGCAAGGCAGAGAAAGGATAGTGAAGCTCCGCCCAACGCGTGTCAGACACACTTTTGCACCGCGCAGCCAGAGCAGCAAAGCTGCTTCAGCCGCGCGTCAGAACTAACTGGTACAAGCAGTAAAAATGAAGCAGCAGACGCGATTTTGCTGCTTTTGCTGTGTCCGGTGTGAAAGCAGCGCTGCACAAAGATCGCCACTGTGCTAGCAACGAGCATGCTTTTAACTGGGGGCGTGTAGCAGTTCTCGCCGTAAAGCAAGACTGACTCTCGCGAGACTTTTGAGCCTGTGGGTGCGGGTCGGTGCTCCTGCAATTGCAAGTGCGGTTTTTCCCCCACAGACCACCAGGGCGGCCGAGAATACCTTTGTTCAACCTGAAATGACTCATTTAATCATCCAAAACGTTATGGAACACATTAATTAACTGAAAAATGTTGCATAGTGTGCCTTTAATGTATGATATTGTCTATTGCTTCATCTTTTTAATTTGGTTCAAAGAATAAAAATTGGACAGCTTTTCAAACTCCTTTTCCCAGGTATAAGCTTAGCTTTAGAACTGTGCACTTGTTAGAATTAATGATTGCAGTTGAATGTAGGAGAAAGAAGCAAGTGCTTAAGAAAACTAACAGAGGTTAGATTTGAGTAAAATGGCACCAGATTAGCTCAACCACACAAGTGCACGTAAAGAGTGTCTTCAAGATTTCACAAGCTTGCTGTTGAGGAGCCCCTTTTTTAATGCTTCAGGCGATTTACTGTAAAAGACATGCTTGGATGATTGAGAAATGCAAGTTGCTGTGATTTCTGATTTCATTTGTTTTATTACTTGGAGAAAATCAAACTTTGGTAGATGGGCACATGGCACAATTTTTCCCAATTGGCTTCAAAAATTTTGATACATATCCCGCTTTTCCCCAAAAAAATGGTGCTGCTTATTTTCAGTCTGGCTTGCTTGGTTAAAACATAAACAGTCTGGTTGTAATGTTGCTCTGTGGCTCAAAGGTCCATAACCTTACTGCTTATGAGCACCTTGGCCCAATATCTATAAGGCAGTTTGCTCATATGCACAGTTTGACCATTTTGGCATATTTAATGATTTCATTTAAGAGATTTGGATTGTTTTGCAGGCTGAATTTGACTCTGTGAAATTATTTCAAAAGCAAATCTTCATTATATGCAGTGGCATCTGCACTTAATTCAAAACTCTGTAAGCACATCTCAAAGTTGTAATGAAATCAATAAAATGTGCCTATTTTATTGATAAGAACAACAATCATGTCTTTTTTTATTTCATCAGCAAAATAGTTGGTAAAGATTATAGGAAATAATTACTTAAGTAAAATGCTATCTTTTGTAACATTTTACAATTCCTAAAATTTAATGCACAAATAAATGTGACTTGCACTTTGCAGTAAAATCGAAGGTTCCTATGTTTTTTCTGGTATGTATTTAATGTGTATTCAATTTCTCTATAAATAGAAAAAATGTAATCCAATGAGGCACAGTTATTTGTTTATTCAAAAGAATGCTTTGCAGTTTTTATTTGTTTGTTAAAATGTCCTGCATTTTATTGCAGAGACTTCTCTCAGTTTTGAAATGAGCTGAAGGACCTACTGAGTCCCTCCACAGGAATGTTGATTGAGCCAATGGCACCCATTGTCACACTTCTTAAAGTTACCATGACAACATTACTCTCATTTTACTTGGTCGGTGATTAAAAAATTCAGTGGAGTGGATAAAATGGAGTCAAATGAAACTAGCTGGTCCTTTGACTAAAGGAAAAAAGTATTTGAGTGTGTTTGTCATTATAAGGATGTTTAGATAGCAATTAGCACCCCCTTCCCTCACCCCTGACACACACCGGGTTTGAACTAAACTATGACTTTGAAGATTGAGATAACCCGTTAGAGATGACTATCTCACTGCTTGTACCTCCCTATACAGAAGTGATGAGATAACAGGATATATTTGTTAGAGAGGCTTTCAGCAAAAGGGAGTTTTTTTTTTTTTTTTTTTTTCTTAAAATCAAAACAAAAAATAACAGCTTTGCTTCTAAATTAGATTAAGAGTTTAACCCTATTTGTTGAGTTTACATAAACAGCATGAGCAATCCCACAAGGAATGAAAACAAGTTGAAAGGTCTGCGGTTGCCATAATTGTCTGTAAAGTTCCCACGGTCTGTTTACAGGTGGGGGGGTGGGCAGATCTGAGTGCTGCTTCTCTGTGAAGGTCTCAACAAGACATGTCAGTGGAAACAGGAAAGAAGCAGGAACAATAGCATTGTTGCTATATCGGTAGACGTTATGATAGCTTCAAACTAAACTTCCCACAAGTTTTTTCTTAGTTTTCTTTTTTTTTTGTCCAGTCCAATGTAACTTTTTTGCATCCTCAAAACCAAGACCTAATTGATCTCTCTGATCTGTCGCAGGAGAGAATAAGCAGTGGCGCTGAGCTTGTTTGCCAGCTGTGACATAGTCCAATACAGAAGACACTCGTGCAGTGAGGCGTACCAAACAAGCCTCAGCACACAGCGTCCGACTTTCTTTGAGGCCAATATATGAAGTGGGCTGTGCACCATATGCAAGACAAAAATAGTCATCATGTAGATGTAATTTTACATGTTCTTATACGCACAACCTTGATAGACAAACAGTCTTCCAATACTTGCTTAAATTAGGTAAAAAAGCAAAGATTATGTTGCTTTAAAACAAGCTTCATTTGTAAAACCCGAGCTAAATGCAAACAATACCGATTATTCTTCTGCAATGTGTTATCTTCGTTTTGAGACTAAACATCATGAAACTTTAGCTCACTATTAAAAGAATGAGAAGACTTTGATAATTCGAGATCAAATTAAGTTGTCAGGAACTTAAGTGAACACAGAACTCAGAGGAGGAATAAATGAGTCACACAGTGTAATAAAAGCAGACTCTGTTGAACATACAGTATCTTCAGAAAATGCTTCTACAAAAGTTTGTCCACGGAGCTCAATGGCTGGGTTCTTAAGCCACTGCTCTATTATTATCATTCTTGCACTTCTCAGATTTACTGAGAATACAGACTAGGCTGAGGTGGAGGGTTGAAGCATGTGGGAATCCCCCCCAGGGATTTACAAACTTAAGTCAAAGAACCTCCAACTGCTCATTGTATATAACCCACCGCTCTTCATACAATGTGCAACTCTGGCTCTTACCTTCCACATGATTAAAATCCCATCATCCACAAACAAAGTGAAAAAGATGGGAAGATAGAGGTGAAGAGGGGGAGTGACGGCTCTCTTTCTCTCCCTCTCTCTCTCTCTCTCTCTCCTCCGTGGGATGCAGGAAGGTTGACAGCGGCTAAAACGATAGTAAAGAGCAATCCCAGAAGCCACTGAGGATGTGAGTACGTCTATGTGGCTGTGTCATCACCTCTCTTGACATGTTTCCTCCTCTGCCTGTGCAAGCTTTTCCATCCAGACCCAGCAGAGAGAGAGAGAGAGAGATGGGACAAACTAGTGCACCGCCCCCTCACTGTTTCCTCTCCTCCCCCAGTCTGTTCAGTCCTTGCTCCATGCTCCACTGTATTCAAATGTGCCAGTTAGCAGACTTGCCTTAAGTAGGCCAATCATCATCTAGCTTTATGTTTGCGGCATAATTTGCAGCAAATGAATCGCGGCTTAGAAATTCTATAACTGGAATATTCCCCTTATTGAATCACCTAAAAACATTCAAGCTTACGTACAAGCAAAAGTATAGACACAGACTACTTGTTCTATGTAATTTAAAATCTAAGTAAAATATTAGATTTGAGGTTTCTGAAATCTGCATTTATTTTTTGTTATATCTATACTTGTGTCTCTTTACCCAACTCAATTAAGACTATAAACCTGTTTCCCTTTTCTCATTACATGGTACATTAGTTTGTATTTAGTGCACACCTCAAGACCACACATTCATTAGATTATGGTTAAATATTTGCAGCTTGTAATGCATTTATACACAGTATGTACTTTATAGGGACCATGATTTTAGTAATTTAAAAAATGTAGTTGTAATCTTTAACATTTTTGAATAACTTCTCAATACTGTGGTTATTCTAACAAGTCAAAGTTTTTCTTACTTTGTTGTCAAATACGGGAAAGCAAACTTTTAGTGGTGGGTTAGAGACCCAGTGTTCTTTTAAGAGAGAAGTTTTTGGAGAGACCAGGATTTGAAAGTCAGATTTTCTCTGAGAAACTGTAAGAATAACCTAAAAGTCAAACTTATCTGAGCTTGTAGTCACTCAGTGGAGATATTTGTCATCTTTACCCTTTTTGTTTTGGTCACCACTACATTTTTATGGCAATAACATAAAAGTCAAAGTTGTGCATGTGTGTGTTTTCTTTTGAGTTGGTTTAATTCTTATTTTGTTGTGTGTTCTCATTATATATCAGTTCTTAGGCTTTTATCTGTTGCCCTCTGTTGTTGCTATCCTCAACCAAAACCCTGACAAATACCATTTTTAGAAACTCAGACACAGCCAGACTTAAAGCCAGATTAGGTTACGATTAAAGTTAACTTAAGCTGTCTACAGATATGAGACTATTAAAAGCCATAACATAAGTCACTCCCACTTGAGTGAAATATTCTCAGTAAAACAAAATACTTGCCAGATTTTTTTTTTGGTTGCATTCCTTACATTGTTACATCATCTATCGACCTTGAAACCTCAACTTTTGTGGCTGCTACCCATGAAATGTCCCTTACTTTTTTTTTTTTTATTTATGGCCTACAAGAAAAGCTGCTTAAAATAATCTCCAAGATGCAAGACACTCCTACACAACTGCATATTATAACAACTATTGTTGGATAAATAACGTCAACTTTCATCATCTTCTTCCTTTGGACACCACAGTTCTTTATCCTGCTTAAATTTTCATTTGGAAGTTTAAAGCTGAAGGAATATAAAATTATACATATTCTTAGGGTCAGAGATTGCTGTCTAGTGAATAATCCTTGGGATTATTCTGTAGATAGAAGTGTGGGACATGTATTTAACTTAGGAAAGATTTTTGAGTCTGATTCCAGGGTGTTTAGTACAGTAAATTCAATATACCAGAAATCTAGGCATCGTACTTAGTTTATGTATCTGTTTTAAAATCCTAAGTGCCAGGAAGTGGATGGAAAAATTAATGCTAAATATTCAGAGATTCACCACTGTACATAGCTTTCATTGTAAGAATTCTGGCTGTGTGTGTCTTGTGGTTAGAGTGGGATCAGATGAGGTGAGTCTGCTGCTTAAGAATGTTCTTTTTGAAACAGACGCAGAAACAGTTTCCATCTGGGCTTGAGTTCTCAGAGCAGTATATCAGTATATACCACTGAAAAGTTGCTTTTCAACTTTAGGTAACGTAAGTCTTATGTCTTTTGACACGCGTCAAAATGAGCAGCAGGAGCTATAATAACCAGTTCATAAATGAATAAATTATCCAAAAATGTTGAAACCTAAAATATGTTCACTGTCATTATTCTGGTACCTGCAGGTTGTTCCACATACCTGAAAAATGCTTCACACATCTACCCCCAGCCACGACGAACAGACAAGAAGTTAATAGTAGTGATTGTAGGAGTCGAACCAGTAATTAACATCTTTTATATTTTCTAATATCAGCTTCAAGGGAAAACTCGCATGGGGAGACGAGGATGGCCGTGTTCGAGTTCATTGAGGTCTTCGTCAATGAAAATAAGATAGATTAGAATATGTTTTTAAATTACAAACCCAACCCATTTACACAGTAACTGATCAAAACCTATAGATACCTATAGATAAGCCTATAGATAAATCAAACATTACCCCCCACATGTCTGACTCAGTAACTATTAAAACAGCTATTGTAATTCATTTCAAATGGAACTATTCACAGACTTGTGAACCATTCCACAAGTCCAAAGTGGGACAGGTTTCTACATTGTTATGTAATTCTAAGTGTCTAATCTGATGTATGTCAGTGGTTTTAAAGAGGAAGATGGTTCATCTGCCGTTGTAGCTCTGAGAGAAGAGATGCTGGCTTAGAGTTCAATGGATCCCGAGTTCAAGTCCTGATTCATCTCTGAAATCTCAGTGAATTTATCAATTTAAAAAAATATAGTCCCTATACATATTACATCCAGAATTATTGGCTTTCAAAGTAAGAATTGAAACAAAAAGATAAATATACTACAAGAAGAGGTTGAACTCTGAAAGGATGTTAAAGCATTGACTCTCAAATTAGAAGCAAAACAACAGATAAATGCCCCCAGAGAAAAGTGAAAGTGTGACAGGTTCTCAATTTCATCTATGTTCGATGAAACAATAACTTGAGGTTATACATCAGAGAACAAAATCTAAGACTTGTAAAGACAGTAAAATACAAAAGTTGTAATCTTAAACCACACCAACAGTAGTATTTCTCTCAAATAAAACTTGAAAATGTAATGACTAAGTAACCTTTTGCAAATGTTACATTCTTGTATGTAAATGTTGACATTTTTTAAAATCATCTGTAAACATTCCATTTGTTTTGCAGTCTTTTTTAAGTTACTTAGAAAACTACTTAAGACATAATAGTATTTTACTGTCTGTAAAACTTTAATCAGACTTTGATTTCTGATGTATAACCCCCTCCAATTATTGTTGCAGAAGTCAGGGAGGGGACACGGCCCCCTCCCCGACCCACCGCTGTGGGTAGTTCCAGGCTACGTCAACCACAGATGGAATTGAACTCAGACTCTTCACCACTGGCGCCTGACGGTCGCAGACAATCCCACTCTGCTGTGACACCTGTCACACTTTGGACTTTTCTCCGGGCGCATTTATCTTTTAGTTTCTATTTCTACAGTTGTTGGAAAATGACAATAGTGGGGTTTGAACCCATGAGCTTCTAGTATGAGGGCCAATGGTTTAACAATCACACCACAGGCACTGTCTCACTATGCTCTTTTTCTCGTAGTGCATTTATCTTTCTTGCTTCTTTTTCTACATTTGTTTGAAAATGCCAATAGTGGGATTTGAACCCATGAGCTTCTAGTATGAGGGCCAATGGTTTAACAATCACACCACAGGCACTGTCTCACTACACTGCTTTTTTCTTGACTTAATATGTATGATATATTTCATTTCCTGAGACTTCAGAGATGAACCAGGACTTGAACTCAGGATCCATGGAACTCTAAGCCAGCATCTCTTCTCTCGGAGCTACAACGGCAGATGAACTTAGAAATGCATACAAATCTTCACACGTTACCCAGTTTTAAATGTAGACACCTGTTACACTTTGGATTTTTCTCCAGGCAAATTTATCTTTTTGTTTTCACTTTTCAAAAAAGTTAAAGAAATCAATCCACTGGACTTTGTTTCCACGTTTAAATATGTTTCTCTTCCCATCCAGGAAGCTTTTTTAATTCAAAATGTCAGAAATAGTGTTGAGTTCCAGGTTTTATACAGTAGACCAACAAAACTTGGTTTTTGTTTAGAAAACATGCAATGTTGGCCTGGCTGAATAGGCGAGGTCTTCTGTTCTCCTGTAAAGGGGTTTGGGTTGCGATGATAGCAGGAAGTAATCAACTCCATCGCTGAATTGTAGGTTTTTGAAGTCCACCTCCTCTGTTTAAGATTGGTTTTCCTTTCTTAACATAAATGTTAAGTTTTCATTTTCACTTTTACAGTTGTTGAAAAAGATAATATATATTTCTGTTGGATTTGAACCCTTGAGCTTCTAATTAAAAAGGCAATGCTTTTACAGTCAACCACAGGCCCGGTCGCACATCAGCCTGTTCTCTTAGCAGATCTATCCTCTCAGTTTCTATATTAACCTTGATAATAATGGTGACTAAAACCCAACAAGTATCACCAGGATTTGTTCCTGTGACCTTCTCATCCAGGTTTGGTTAACTGGACCTCTGCACCACTAGATCCTCCAGTCGTTGCCTTCTTCTTGTAACACATTCATCTACTTCATGTCTAGATTAACTTTGTTAACAAATAAAGACTTTCAGCAGAAATCAGAGTCAGGAACTACATTAATAAGATTGCTGATCTTAACATTAACTGTTCATATTATTAAACAAATCCTTCTTGTCAGTATGAGGAATTGAACTACAGACTCTCTGAACTCCTTCATACCTCCTTTCCTCTCTGAGCTATCCAGAAAGGTACTCGAGCATCAGAATCCATGACATCATCCATGTGAAGAGTGAATATTTCTCTTCCAAATCCTCATTTTCTCCAAAGCATCAGCTTCAGAACCCAGAGGTCTAAGCAGAGCTGGTTCTACAGCTGGTTCTAATGCTGATCCCACTGATCAACAGCTTCTTGTCAGGTTGGATCTTCTACTCTGGATTAACTCCACAAGCAGATGGTCAGACCAGAACATCTTCACCTACAGAAGCAGAAAGGTCTAATTCTAAACAGATTCAGCATTGTCATCAGAACAAGAAGTGGATCCTTTCTTCATCTCTACATTTTCTGCT